CCAGATTTGGTTTTAAATGTAAAGTTATGCAGTGGTCTTTTGATGACTTCCCTGATGCATCTCTGCTGTGGAAGCCAGCTGCAGCCACAGTGCAGGTTAGATGTCACGTGGAGCAGCTCTCAGCCCATGACTGATAAGTAGATAAATGTCTCAACCTCCTCCTGCCTCACGGGCAACACTCTGTGAAGTATGTCCTATGCTGTCTGCAGAAATAAACTCCAGTTGTCTTCCCTTGGTAACCCTGGATCGGCTTCCTGCCCTTCCAGTCTCACTCCCACTCCCTCACCAGTGTTTTCTGGAAACAATCTGCCAAATCAACCACCTATATTTATTCTGTTGCAGGGTCTGCTTTTGAGCAAATTCAACAACTTAAAGTCAGTCAACAACTTATATCTGGCTCAGGTAATGAAAAGGATCCCTTGATTTTCAAGTTCTCAAGAAAAAAAAAGCTCAGCAAAAGCCTGGGGTGGGGAAGGAGGGAGGGATCTCCTCCTCTTCCCTGAAAAATTGCTTTTCACAGCCTGTCACAGGCTTGTCACAGGGTGAGCACAGAGCTGAACTGAAGATGTTAGTAGAAAATGAAATATTACTTTTCTGTATTGTGCATTGGAGAAGAAAGTAGGGTGGAGCCACCATGCACCAACCAGATTGTCCATGATTCACCCAGAGTGGCAGCTGGGTCAGGGACCATTGACATCCTTGGACTTTCAGACCATAGGTCAGGCAATATTTTCTGCAAAGGGACTGATAATAAATTCTTCCAGCCTTGAGGGCCACACAATCTCTTTAACAACTACTCAGCTCCTTCACTGTAACCTGAAAGTGGCCACAGATACAAGCATGGCTAGGTTCCAACAAAGCTTTATTTATGGACATTGAAACTTGAACTTCATGTAACTTCCACATGTCATGAAATATTGTTCTTCTTTTGCTCTTTTTCAGCAATTTAAAAAGGCAAAACCGCCTTGTGGATTTTTTGTACAAAAGCAAGTGATGGGCCAAATTTGGCCCCTGCTATGGACCATTGATACATACTCTCAATAATACTGTTGATTATGGCTCCCCTTCAACCATAACACACACACACACACACACACACACACACACACCTGTGTGTGAAGTGTGTAAGCACCTGTGAAGCTTGAGAGCTTCCCAGAAACTCTCACTGTGATTTTTCATGAAGCTATCCAGAGTAGGGAAAGAATTTCTCACCATTTCTTCCTACTTATCTGCCTAGCCTCTCCTGTTTCCACCTCCGAACCTCCATCACCCTCTTTCAGGAAGAAAGAACTCCGTAATATGAGTGCTAAGAGCCAGGAATTCTTGGACCATGTTTACTCCTGGGCAAGGTTACCACACCAAGGTTACATCTTCGGGGACCTATCTGCCTAGATAGACAGGGGTGGCCCCTGGTGGGAAGCCTGACAATCCAGTGGTTAACTAATGATAGCTCATTTCCAGCTGGTGCTTGTGCTCATTAGAGGAGCACATTATCCGTTAGAGGAGAGAAGACCAGCAGAGCCAAACTCAAAATAGTCTTGTGTCCTTGGATGTAAGACATTGGTCACTACTTCTCCCAAACTCCTAAGATAATCAGCAACTTTTGGCTGAGTATATAAATTTGTTAAATCAATAAAGTGCATAAAAATGCAACCGATGGGGCGCCTGTGTGGCTTAGTCGGTTAAGCGTCTGACTTTCACTTAGGTCATGATCTCGCGGTTCGTAGGTTCGAGCCCCGCGTCGGGCTCTGTGCTGACTGCCAGCTCAGAGCCTGGAGCCTGTTTCAGTCTGTGACTCCCTCTCTCTCTGACCCTCCCCTGCTCACTCTGTCTCTCTCTCTCTCTCCTAAAAATAAATTTAAAAAAATATATTAAAAAAAAGTGCAACCGATTTCTGTACGTTAATTTTGTACCCTGCAACTTTGCTGAATTCATGGATCAGTTCTACTAGGCTTCTGGTGGAGTCTGTCGGGTTTTCTATGTAGAATATCATGTCATCTGCGAAAAGTGAAAGTTTGACTTCTTTACCACCTCAAGAGCCTGATAAATTGTGGCTTCATATTTACTTGCATAATTTTATTTTATTTTTTTTTTGAGAATATTTTACTGCTAACTTGGAGAGGGATAAAGGGAAATATGCAGTAACATTACTTTGATAGTAATGAATCTTGACAAGCAGAAATACATTCTCCTTTTGCCTGACTGCTTAGGCTATCAGGAATGACAGCATTCTTTAAAGCTATAGTTCTCAAATTTTTGGTTTCAGGACTCCTTTGTACTCTTAAAAATTATTAAAGACTAATTGAGCTTGTGTTTATATGGGTTATGTATATAAATATTTACTGTATTAGAAGTTAAGAATGGGAAAAAATTTAAAATTCAGTATTAATTCATTAAAATAATAAATCCAGTACCTATTGAAAAAATAAAGTGCAAACATTTAAGACAAACTGAATAGTTGTGGATATAAACCTTTGTACATGTAAGTCTCCCTACCTGGAAATATTTCCAACTCACCCCTCAATCTCCTACTTCTCATCTGGCTAAAGAACCCTTATCTTTCCCATCTCAACTTACAGGTCACTTCTGGAAAGTCTTCCTTCCCTGACACTAGACTAGATTAGGTCTTCTACCATGCAATCTCCAAACACCCTGTGTCTCCATCACTCATATAAAAGTAGAGAGCAATTACCAGTTTAGTGATCAGTTGGTGAGGGTCAGGAGAGTCTCTCTCTCTTTCCCTCCCTAACCCACACACCTTGCCCCCGGAATTCTTTTGACAGCAGCAGTAGTAAAGAAGAACTTCATTCTGATTGTAATTCTGTACAGATTGCTGTGTTGCTCAAAATCCAAACGAGTTTAATGTGTTCTTCAGAGAGCTTTTAACTATATACTAGTTCCTTCCAAACAGCAAAATTTTATAAGAACCATCTTAGAGTTAATCATGTCACACTTGTAAAGCAAAATCATGCAGGTGCAGCTGGTACAAGCCTAATTAAGCCCCTTTTACTTCTACACAAGGTAGAAATTCACACGCTTGGATTGGCTTTTCAGTATGCATTTTTCTCAAATACACAGATCATTTCAATGAAGAGTTGGGTAATCTTGACTGCTACCCTTTAACAGCTATGTGATAATATGACTTTCAAAGGACTGAAATATCATAACAATGAATAAATATGCTTAAGAGAACCTGCTGCAATCCATAGCTTTTAGGGAAAGAAATAACTATATTCCTAAAATGCTAAGTAAGGTAATTTAATACATATATATTTCTTATTATTGGGACATATCTTAAGATAAACTCTACCAAGGGGCGCCTGGGTGGCTTAGTCAGTTGAGCATCCGACTTTCGCTTAGGTCATGATCTCGCAGTTCGTGGGTTCGAGCCCCGCGTCGGGCTCTGTGCTGACTGCCAGCTCAGAGCCTGGAGCCTATTTCAGAGTCTGTATCTCCCTCTCTCTCTGACCCTCCCCTGCTCACACTGTCTCTCTCTCTCTCCTAGAAATAAATAAAAAATAATAAATAAATAAATAAATAAATAAAAAGATAAACTCTACCAAGTAAACACAAAATCATGATGCTATAAGTAATGAATAATTGTAGCAAAATTAGCTAAGTTCAGATTCTAAAACTTGCTTCATTGATTATTAATGTGAATGTTCAGAATCCTCACCAGGTCTCAAAAAGGCAGTTTCGCAGTCTCAACGATAGTTGTGCCCTGCTGACCAGCACAGGCTTGCAGTTCCCCCTTTTCCTTGGTGCCAAAAGTCCCCTGTGAAGTGTAAAGTTGAGTTCTGTGTTTCACAAGTCTATTATTAGCTTCCAACTACTGCAAAATGTTTTATGAAGATTCAGTTTCCATGAGTTCCACTTTCTGCACTGAGCAATTACAGAAAGACTAAATCAATAGAAGAATAAACACTAAGAGCTGGATCAGTTCTGCTTTGGACATTCCCATGTGGAATGGGGTCACAATCAGTTCTCCCCGTGACACTGTATACTCACCCACGTCTACTTGGCACCGTTTTCAAACCTCGATTTTCATTATCTCATGAAAGAAGGAATCATGGAAGATGGTTTTCACTTTAGCACGTCTGCCTCTACACCTTACTTTTGACATATTCATTAAGCATTGGTTTTCTGGGGCTGCCTTAACAAAATATGAATTTTGGGCAGATGCAAGTTAGTCCATAACAATTATGTTCAGGGTGAATTTCAGACATGTAACCTATCAGGCAACCAAGAGGTGATCACTTCCACTTCACATCTTTGAAGACCATTGGAAAAGGATTGTCATGCTTTTTGATGGAAGTCCTGTGCTTTCTCAAATATATTTTAAATCAACTAATATTCAGGATTTTTTTTGGAGTTTCTCTCATTCTTTGTCTCCTTTTTTATTGACCAGCATCATCATTTGCCTTAAAACTGGGTCCTTCTTGGTTAACATTCCCATGTTCTCCAGTTTCTGTGAATGTCCCTCCACTAACTTGATGGATGCACCAGGCAGATCGGATGTCTTAGCAAAGAAGTCCTCACACAGATGGCTATAGTTGTTCTCAATTTGTCTGAAATTCCTTTTCAAATTGGGCTTCTATTTTATCCTGCTACCTATGAACCTTTTTGGACACTGACATGGACTGAGTAAGCCAGGCGGGCTGGTCAGCTTTGAGTCAGCTCCTGTCAGAGAACTTGGAGTTGTTGACTTCCCTGCTGTGCAGGTTAAAAGTACTTCTGTCTTCTGACTTGCTAAGCAGTCAGTATCTTGACCATCATGGCTTCTACCATTTCCTCTCTTTGGGTTCCAAAGTCCCTTGTTATCAAGTTTACTGTACAAGAGGGAATGACCAACTTTTAGGGTGGCTACCGAAGAGATGCAGAACAAAACAAGAAGACTCCCACAGACCTACCCATTCCCTCTTGTGCTCTGGGGCCTTCCATGAGCATTTCTCCTAGGGCCAAATCATTTGCCACTCACTCAGCAGACACGTATCAAGTACCCGGTGACTGCTGGCATGGTGCTGACACTGGATGTATCAGCTCATGAGGAAGCAGACTGCTGTCACTGCTTCAGCTCAAACCGGCTGTCATCCAGACCAGGGGGACCTCTCAGGAGCACCGAAGTTGTGGGATCTTAGCCAAGGAAAGAAAACTCCCTACGTTCATGTTTTCTCCTCTGTAAAACAGGGTAAGATTAGTAGTAGTAATAACAGTAGTAGCCACGAATGCTTACACAGTGCTCAGTTACCTGCCTGGCACCATTCTGGACTCTTTATGCACATGAACTCATTTCATTCTGAGTACTTGGTTTGTTTTTAGAAATTTATTTACTTATATTTTTAAAGTTTATTTATTTATTTGAGAGACAGAGAGAGAGAGAGCAAGAGAGAAAGAGTACACACAAGCCTGGGAGGGTCAGAGAAAAACAGGGAGAGAGAGAATCCCAAGTCTGCTCCATACTGTCAGCTCAGAGTCCTGCATCGAATCCAATGCAGGGCTTGAACTCATGAACTGTGAGATCATGACCTGAGCTGAAACAAAGTGGTGGACGCTTAACCTAGCCACTTATGTAGGCTGTCCTACATACTTATTTTTTAAGTAATCCCTATACCCAATGTAGGGCCCAAACTCACAACCCCCAAGATCAAGAGTCAGATGCTCTACTGACTGAGCCAGCCAGACTCCCCTTGTTCTGGGCACTTGTAATCACTATTTACAATGAAAGACTCAGAGATATACACAATCTGCCCAAAGCCTAGCAGCTAGCAAGTCATAAAGGCAGGATCTGGGCCCAATTGTGAGGCCCCAGAATACATGTGTTTAGCCACCATATTGGACTGACATGGGACTTGGTTCCCAATGCTATTGTGATTCATAGTAAGAAATAGATATTTGGTCTTTCTCCCATTCCTGGCAAAAAGCCTCTAAAACTTTTGGAATTTCCTAAATCCTACAAGGGATTAAGGTATCTTTTGTTATGTTAATGGGTGACATTGGACCACAACTAGGGGTTGATCAAGGGAGCCAAATAGGAGCATAGAGAGTTGGAAATTTCAGTCCCATCCCTGGACCCCAAGGAAGGGGAAAAGGGCTAGAGATAGAATCAATCACCAATGGCCAATGATCAATCATGCCCATTCAATGAAGCCTCCATAAAAACCCAAAAGTATGGAGTTCAGAGAGCTTCCAGGTTTACATGAAGATGTGGGGAAAGCGGCACTTAGAAAGGGCATGAAGTCCTCACCCTTCCCCCATACCTCGACCTACGTGTCTCTTTCATCTGGCTGTTCCTGAGTTATATACTTTGTATGAAACCAGTGATCTAGCGAGTAAATGGATTTCCTGAGTTCTATGAGCCATTCTAGCAAATTACTTTAACCCAAGGAGAAAATCATGGGAGCCTCTGATCAACAGCTATTGAATCAGAAACACAGGTGACAATCTGGATTCATGATTGGTGTGAAGAGGGCTTGGGGCACAGTCTTGTAGGACCGAACCCTCAACCTGTAGAATCTGAAGGTATCTCCAGGTAAATAGTGTCAGAAATCAGTTAAGTTGAAGGTCACCCAACTGGTGTCAGAAAGCTGGTTGGTGTGGGGAAAAAAAACCCCACATTTGGTGACGAGGAGTGTTCTGTGAAGTGTTCTGTGTACACAGGAGAAATACAGGAGGAGATGTGTAGGTTTTTTCCTTACATTCCTCAAACCTGATAATCTTGCTAAATTTTAAATGCAGATTCAGTATTGATTCCTTTGTGAGAAGTAAGGGAGATGACTCATTTTCAGAAATACCAAATAAAAGTTGTACTCTCTAGTTAACAGTCTGTTTACAACCTATTGGAAATATGTACAAACCCCTCCCCACACACAATGGAGTCCCAAATTTTTAGACACTTTACTTCCCTCTTCTTCCCTTCTCCATTTTGAGGGCTTATTTTCATGGACTTTGCAACGAGCATGAGCCAAAGAACAAAGGGAGGAGGGACTGAAAGTCTCTGCATCACCTCCGGGAATGTACATTTGTTCCAATCAGACTACATTTTGCCTCACATGGGCAAAGGCGGCTTCCTGGTAAGGCTGTAACCTCTGTAGGACTCAGCCAATGAGGAACCAGGGAAGGGACATACATGCTATGAGATAAATTGTCTGCTGTAACTACCCTGACTGTGCCTGTCCGTCAGATATCCGCTCTTGCCAAGAACATTGATTAAGACCTCATTTCACTGTGCTCTGAGTCTCCACATCCCTCCTTTGATTGGGTCAGTGGGCCTATTTCTCACATCCTTTACATAGCAAGTGCTCACTGGGTCATGGTTGGTCAGGATGAAGCACTGTGACAGACAAAGACAAATGAGTAAGACTCTGTCTGCAAGAAAGACATAAAAACAAATGCGTTTGAGACTGAAACAAAGTGAGGCATCAAGGAGGTGAGCAAAGGTACAGTGGCTCTGAGTAACAGTGGGGAGTTGAGAGAGAGCACCTGGAGAACATGAAAGGTCCCTGGAGACACAAGACTAGAAAAGCAATTTGGGGTCAAATGAAAAGATCTTGAATATTAGTTTTAAAAACATGGGTTTTTGCAGAGCGGCCTGGGTGGCTCTGTCGGTTAAGCATTTGACTTCTGCTCCGGTCATGATCTCATGGCGGGTGAGTTCAAGCCCCATGTTGAGCTCTGTGCTGACAACTCAGAGCACGAAGCCTACTCCAGATTCTGTCTCTTTCTTTGCCCCTTCCCCCCAATACAAATGAACATTTAAAAAATTTTTTTAATAAAAAAAAAAGAAAACGGGTTTTGGAGGGCACCTGGCTGGCTCAGTCAGTGAAACATATGACTCTTGATCTTAGATTATGAGTTTGAGCCCACATTGTAATGTAGAGATTACTTAAAAATAAAATATTTTTTAAAAAATGCATTTTAGGGGTGCCTGGGTAGCTCAGTTGGTTAAGTGTCCGACTCTTGAACTCACAGTTTGTGAGTTTGAGCCCTGTATCAGGCTCTGTGCTGATGGTGCAAAGCCTGCTTAGGATTTTCTCTCTGCCTCCCTCTGCTCACACCCATGCTCTCTCTTTCAAGATAAATAAATAAACTTTTAAAAAATGAGTTTTAGGGGTGCCTGGGTGGCTCAGTTGGTTAGGTGTCCAAATTTGGCTCAGCTCATGATCTCACAGATTACGAGTTTGAGCCCCACATCAGGCTCCATACTGACAGCTCAGAGCCTGGAGTCTGCTTCAGATTTGGTCTGTCTCTCTCTATAACACCCCTGCTCATGCTCTTTCTCCCTCTATCTCTCAAAATATAAATAAATGTTAAATTTTAAAAAAAGTAAAAAATAGGGGGCGCCTGGGTGGCTCCATTGGTTGAGCTTCCAACTGGCTCAGATTATGATATCGCAGTCTGTGAGTTCAAGCCCCGTGTCAGGCTCTGTGCTGACAGCTCAGAGCCTGGAGCCTGCTTCAAATTCTATGTCTTCTCTTCTCTCTCTGTCTCTCCCTCACTCATGCTCTGTCTCTCTCTCTCAAAAATAAACATTAAAAATAAATAAAAATAAAAAAATAAAAAATAAAAATAGGTTTTATTTTGCACTGATGATTTTGAAGTAGGGCTGATGCAGTTGGGACCCTAGCTCAGGATGATTGTTCAAACAGTGATAGAGAAGTTAGGCTGGAGAGAAAATGCATTAGAAGCCAGGAGACCAATCAAGAGGCAACTCTATGTCTGAAATCAGCATGTTAGTGTGTAGAAAGCCTAGAACCTGCCATTTAATGATTCTGCTCTCGATGTCTGCATTCCTGATGTCAAACAAAACACCAAGTTGTTAGTATTGTTCAAAATTTTTCAAGTGAGCAGGTGTTATTAATTTTAGATTCAAGAAGCAGTAAAGTTATTATTATTTTTTAAATAAGGCATTTTCTTTTTCCACAGAAACCCATTTACTTGCTAGATCACAGGCAGCATCTAAATAAGTCATAGGCCACTGTGCTGTGAATGACTGTGCAAACTGACTGGTAACCCAGGCAACCGAAAGGCAGTGAGCACTGTGTTCTCCAAGCCTGGCTCAAGAGACGCCTTGGCTGGGGCTTCCATGGGATTAGCCTCAAGAGCTGCTGGTCCCGAGACAAACTGTGGATTGCAAATCAAAAACTGTGGATTGCAAATCAGTTGGGGCCTTTCCTTACTAGGTACTCCAAGTTCTTGTGCCTCTTGTCACCCTCCTCTCTGCTCCCCTAACCCCGCTAGTCATTTATCATATATACTTATGGAAGTACAGCATAAATACAGAAAAATATGACCCATGATGCTTTTTGTTTCTTACAATGCTTTTACTCTCTCGTACCATCCTGGATTTCCTCCATCAAAACTTACACTGAAAGAAAATTAAAGAGCATCTGGCTGGCTCAGTCAGCATAGCATGTGAGGCTTTATCTTGGGGCCATGAGTTCAAACTTCACTTTGGGCATAGAGCCGACTTAAAATAAATAAATAAAATTGTGTTAAAAGAAAATTAAGGAGTCACCCACCCTGTGTTTTCTTCTCTGAAGATTGCATGTCCATTTTAAAAAATTTTTTAACATTTGTTTATTATTAAAATTTCATCCGCATGTCCATTTTTAAAAAAATTTTAACATCTATTTATTATTAAGAAACTGAGAGAGGCAGAGCATGAGCATGGAGGGGCAGAGAGAGAGGGAGACACAGAATCCGAAGCAGGCTCCAGGCTCTGAGCTGTCAGCACAGAGCCCGATGCGGGGCTGAAACCCACAAGTGGTGAGATCAAGACCTGAGCCGGAGTCGGAGGCTTAACCGACTAAGCCACCCAGGCGCCCCTCTGTATGTCCATCCTTTCATGAAACCCACTTGTGGAATGTTCACTTCATCCAGGCGTGAGTGGGCTGGGGATGCAAAGATGGGTGAGACTTCAAAGAAGCCACAGTCCCAGATAATGACAAAGACAGTGGAGATAGATCGTGTTAGGGGAATTCATAGGGGTCTGGGGAGAAAAAGACGAAGCACAGCCAAGGCTCTGGTGGGAGAGAGTGCTAGAGGATTTGCTGGGGAGATGACACTTGAGGAGGATCTTAAATAAAGTCTGCCCAATGGATGACAGAGCAGGAAGGGAAATCAGTGCAGAGAGACAGTATGTTCAAGACCCCTAGGGCTGAGAGAGTAGGGCACATCTAGGTCATGACAATCTACATGGTTTGGTGGTGCCCAGCTGGGTACAACTTCTCCAAGAAGTTGACACCCCTCTTATAAACCATCCCAGTGGCCACACTAATGAACATCCCAGCACATCCCAGATCTTCTTGAATTCATTCCCTTCCATTCTGTCTCCCACAGTTTGTTTACTTAACCTATTCTGAGCTCGATCTGGTTCCCAACCTCGCCCACTCTCTGTGTAGATGGCACTCCCAGGGAGCCCTAGAGTGTCCTGGCATAAAAAGGACTGTTCCATCAGGTGCCTGAGTGTCGCTGAACAAAGAAGCTGGAAGGCATGACAAGTAGCTTCAGGGAGCAAAGCTAACTGCTATCCATATCTTAGGAAGTCTCAGAAGGTCCAATACACTAGGTCCAAGACAGTCATAGAGCAAAAGGGGTATTTATTTATTTATTTAAATATTAAGAATTTATTAATATATATATTTTTTTGAGAGACAGAGAGACAGAGCAAGCAGGGGAGGGTCAGAGAGAGAAAGGGAGATACAGAATCTGAAGCAGGCTCCAGGCTCTGAGCTAGCTGTCAGCACAGAGCGCCCGACGTGGGGCTCAAACCCATGAACCGTGAGATCATGACCTGAGCCGAAGTCGGACACTTAACTGACTGAGCCACCCTGGCACTTCAAAAGTGGTATTTAAAGAAAAGGGTCAAGAGGCATGTGAGTGGCTCAGTCAGTTAGGCATCCCACTTCCTCTCAGGTCATGATCTCAGTTCATGGGTTCAAGCCCCATGCTGGGCTGTGTGCTGACAGCTCAGATCCTGGAGCCTGCTTTGGATTCTGTCTCCCTCTCTCTCTGCCCCTCTCCTGCTTGCTCTCTGCCTCTTTCTCTCTCAAAAATAAACATTTAAATAAAGAGGTTAACCACAGAGGACAATAACTTATTCACTGGATATCTATTAAGCGTCATTTATGTACTAAGCACCAGGCCAAGGGCTGAAGATACAGCCATTAGTAGAGTTAGTGCATCCCTGTCAAGGTCGCTGTTGGTACCCACAACATGGTGGGCCAGTTAAGACTGGTGGCTTTCCTGCTTAGGCTATTGGGTGTCTGCTCTGATTGACCAGGCTGTGTCACAATGATTAAATATTTTTTAATGCCATCCCAAATTTCCAGCCTTGTTTTTAACACATGTATATTTACAAAGTGAAATAAGGAACAACAACTACAAACAAAAAAAACCTCTGAACCCGACCTAGATTTGGAGGGTTGGTCCGGAAGAGCTTTACCAAGGGAGAGACCCTTGAGCTGAGATCCAGATGACAGGCTGGGGATAATTGGTGGACACAGAAAGTGGAACAGAGAGTAGCACATCTGAACCCATAGGGAGTCAGACAATTTTGTGGATAGTGTGTTTGACTCCTCTCAGCTGAAGTAGTGGAGAATTGAGAATAGTGTAGGCTTCTAGGTTGGTTTCAGCATGTGTCCCCCACTAAATTCCCATGTTGAAGTTCTAATGCCTGAAGTATAAGCATTGGTGGGTGGGGCCTCTGGGAGGTGCTTGAGACAGGAAGGTGGAGCCCGCCTGAATGTAATTGGTGCCATATGAAGGAGCTCCAGAAAGCTCCTTAGTGCCCCCACCGTGTGAAGATGCAGCAGGAAGGCGTGAGCTTGTGTATGTGGAAAGAGGGTCCTCGCTAGAATACGACCATGCTGGTGCCTTGGACTTGCCAAGGACTTCCCAGCCTCCAGAACAATGACAAAGAAGCTTCTATTAGTTGTAAGCTACCCAAGCCTGTGGTTTTTGTTATAGCTGCCCAAACAAACTATGACAGCATCTCTTCTGTGGGGCAGGAGGAACTGATAGGATTCACATAACAAGAGGTGATGGCTCAAACCACTAACTGCCAAAGTGCAGTGACTGACCTCAGTACTGCTGTGCACCGTGGAGGCTGGAAAGAATGTGCACGGCAAGGGACCTCACAACCAGCAGAACGAGCCTAGACAAGCAGTTCCTCCAGCTCTGTGCACACAGGTAAAAGCTGCCATTTCCCATGGGGGATGTCCCCCTTCACCAATGAAAAACCATATAAGCTATGAAAATGTGGAGACATGGCTGAGCCAAGTCATCTCTTCCCTTCACCGTTGGCTGAGGAGACCTTTAATTAGAATTAAAAGTTAATCACTCAGGACTTAGAACAGAATCCACTCCAGCCAGTTTAAGCAGAAAGTAAGGATAGAATCTACAGGAGAACCAGCGAATGGAGCTTCCAGACTGTGCAACTCAGAGCCAAACCCCAGTGAACCACGTCCGACCGCCCAGCAAAGATCCTGAGCCCATCCTGGTCTCAGTCACCTCGGACTGAAACAGCCATGGCACCCCTAGGACCCCACCCACCACCGTCCTTCCCTCTGCCCCGTCTGACTCTGTGGACACAACTCCCCTGAAAAGAAGCCTCAAGCATGTGCACCCAACTGGTGAGCTTTACATCAAGTATCTGCATCCTGGCTTCAAGGGCAAAAGAGGAAAGCAGACTGCTAGCTTCCTTCTTGAGGAAGTAGGACTTAAATGGTAAGAAAGCTCCCTGGCATATGAAATGTGCTCCAAAGGAGTCAGACCTTACCCTTTATGCTGGAGGTCTGTAGTCAAGCCTGGAGGCATTGTTTTCCAAGAAGGGACAGAGTTAGAGCCTCCACTGTCCTGCTTCTTATCTATGAAACAGAGCCACCTAAGACAAAATAAGGCCCCCTTTGTCTGGCAATACTTTACTTCCACTCAGGCCCAGCCACATGACTTGCAGGCCCCAGTGAAAAGCGCAAATGCTAGGCTTCTTGCTCAACAATTTAAAATTTAAAAGACAGAGACAGAAGAGCATTAGATCAAGCTGGGCCCTTCTGAATATGAGTCCCTGTGCACCTGCACAGGTCACACGGCTTTGAGGATGGTTCTGCTTCCTTCTTCCTCTGTGGCCAGTAGGACTGTGTTGTTTGAACCTTTGTCTAATCTAGTGTTGCTAGACATAATGGGAAGAGAGGGGAACTCAAATGATATTCTTGATAACACAATATCTAGTAAGGTCTGGATCCTTCTGGAAACCTATTAGAGTTCATTTGGGGACATCACTCTGGAGTCTACACAAGGAAGAAGAAATCATGAAACTCCAAGGCCTCAATGAGAAGAAAAGCTACTTTGACCAGCTTGTTCATCCTGCTTGATCTTATAACAATGCTCTCCTGCCTGTCATAGGATATGATTTGTCACAGTGGGCGACCTGGGGCAGGGTTTTGAAACATTGCAGAGAAGGTTTCCTTTCTTCCTTCTTTCCTTCCCTCCTTTCTCTCTCCCCCCGCCCTCTCTTCTTATATAAACCTTGGCCGGGGCGCCTGGGTGGCTTAGTCGGTTGGGCGTCCGACTTTCGCTTAGGTCATGGTCTCACGGTTCGTGGGTTCAAGCCCTGCATTGGGCTCTGTGCTGACTGCCAGCTCAGAGCCTGGAGCCTGTTTCAGTCTGACTCCCTCTCTCTCTGACCCTCCCCTGCTCACGCTGTCTCTCTCTCTCTCTCCTAGAAATAAATAAAACATTAAAAAAATAATAAAATAAACCTTGGCCAAATGTATCCTTTGAAGCTAAAGGGAGATATCGATGGTCTGATATTGCATGCCAAAGGCTACATAAAGGTGACTAACATTTATATAAAAAGAAAAAAACACCCCCAAATTCAATCATCCATACCAGGTTTCTACAAAAATCCATGGGATCTCAGCTACAAAAAAAGAAATCTGGAAACTGCTAATAGCCATGTTCGTATGCATGGAAGACTCTTATTTCCATGTAACTGTAAGTCTAATTTCTGCCTACAGTACTCAGGGGTTTGCATAGGGATATGACAGTGTCAGCCCTTGGAAGTGAGATAGGAAGTATGCTATCCTGACGGGTGTCCTCAAACATGCAGAGGCAAGGAGGAGAGATGCCAGTATGGACAGGAGAGAAGTCCAGTTTGGGGAAAAGAGAGACTGTCTTGTGTCAAAGTGTGAGGGAGAAACAAAAGCAAAGATGATATATGGATAGCAAGGTTGAAAATCTACCAAGAGGAGAAAGGAATCAGTTCAGATGGTTCTGAAACAGAATCTAGGGATCCTTAATATTGTGGGCTCTTATTTAGTGCAGAGGATGGTCAAGCACCCCAATTCTGGGTGTAGAAACTCCCTTCCACTTACTAGCTTTGTGACCTTGAGGAGCTGTCAAGCCTGAGGGTTTTTTTGTCTGCAAAATGAGATAGTAATGATAACTGTGAATGATTAAATCATTTACCAGGCATTTATTTATTTACTTTTTTACAAATAGTTTGTCAAGTTGGTTTCCATATAACACCCAGTGCTCATCCCCACAAGTGCCCTCTTCCGTGCCCATCACCCCCCCCATTCCCCCCACATCCATCAGTCCTCAGTTTGTTCTCAGCATTCAAGTCTCATGGTTTGCCTCCCTCCCTCTCCCCCACTATTTCTCCCCTTCTTCTCCCCCACGGTCTTCCATTAAGTTCCTCCTAATCCTCCTATACGTGCAAACATATGATTTTTGTCCTTTTCTGCCTGGCTTATTTCGCTCAGCATAACACCCTCAAGGTCCATCCATGTTGCTACACATGGCCAGATTTCATTGTTTCTCATTGCCATGTAGTATTCCATCGTATAGATAAACCACATCTTCTTGATCCATTCGTCTATTGATGGACACTTAGGCTCTTTCCATGTTTTGACTATTGTTGAGAGTGCTGCTATGAACATTGGGGCACATGTGCTCCTATGCATCAGCATTCCTGTATCCCTTACCGAGCATTTATAACAATGACTGGGTGATGATAAGAACTCATGAAATACTAGCTATGGTCATGATGATGGTGATGATAATGAAGGTAGCTGATGACAGTGGTCAAGGAAGTTAGCTGGTCTTTCCTGCCAGGTCACCAGGAATGGGCCAATGAACCTGTGGAAGCCACAGGGAGGGTCATGGTGGGACAGAAGGAAACAGGAGAGAAAGAGATGGAAGATACAGGTAGTCAAGAGGCTTTTGTGTCATTTCCAGTGAGAGAGACTGAGGCCAGCCCAGAGCAATGTCTGAGATGCTCTTTAGATGTTCATGAGGTTGTTATGTGTGTATATGTTGTATACGGTGATCATCGGGCTGTGCAGTTTTCCTACTATATAGGGAATATTTGGTCAAGTGTCCACAAAAATTGAGGGGAGACACTGCCAGGGGGCGCCTCACCTAGAGATGAGGGGTATCAGGGTGAGAGAAAGAACCCTGTGCTCAGGGTTACACATCTGAGGAACAGCTCTACCACCCTTGGGCAATCTTTTTTCTCCCTCTTACAGAGATGCAGAGGCGCTATAGGAAGTGAAAGAGCTCCCACTGCCTGTTTCTGGCTTCTGGGGCATCAGAATCAGAGAGTTCTCATGTCTGAACCTCCCACACTTGCTATAGGTAAGAAGAGAAATAAGGAGAACAGAGAAATGTCTGTGACAAGCTTTTGGTTTTATTTTTGCCTTCTGGAAATGCTTTGTGTCAAAACAAAGTACCACACATATACGATGTGTGTGTGTGGATTTCTCCTTTTCTGATTATAAAAGTAACACATACTCATTAGAGAACATCTGAAAAACACAAAAATGCCAAAAGTCAAATATAGGAGTCACTGATCAGATGACTACCCAGAGATAATTGCTCTGCCTTTGAGTTTATTGCTTTCTCTTTCATTCATTTACAATACACATATCATACATACACACATACATAATAGAATTTGTTACATTTGTATTATATTTTAGAAGGTTTTATATCTTATTTCTTGTACTTATTGTTGACATTTTTCTATGTCATTAAACGTTCTTCGAAAACATTTCAGTTACATACAGTGAAAATTACTATTTTTTGATATACGGTTCTAAGTGTTGACAAAAAACATAGATTCAGGTTACCACTACCACAATCAAGATACAGAACAGTTTCTCACTCCCCCAAAATTCCCTCACACTGCCTCTTTGTGGTTACCCCTCTCACTGGTCCTAACCCTTTGCGACCACTGATCTATTCTCCATTTCTACAGTTTTGCCTTTTCCAGAATGTCACAAAAGTAGAATAATACAGTATGCAGCCTATTAGTCTGGCTTCTTTTATTAGCAAATATGAGTGTTTCTCATGTCACATTCTCTTTCTGACTATATAGAGAGGGTTGTATTGATGTACCACAGTGAGCTCATCTGCTCACCAGCTGAAGGACATTTGGATTGGGAAACATGACTTTTACATCGAATGCTATTCTATCCTCCAGATATACCAAACCATGAGAAAACAGCTCCCTATTATTGGACATTATGAGTTTCTCCTCCCCATTATACATAACCATTAAATCAACACCTTTATTCATAAATCTTTGCATGCCAAATATGTAGACATATATATAGTGTATATATATCTTAAGCTATCAATAAGCATTCAGTGTGTCCCACTGGAGACACAGGAAAATACAGAAAAAGTATAAAATCTAATTCTACTAGAATTTCATAAAAATATTTTATTATATAATAGTAGTTGGGGTCTCAATGCTTTATACAATATGAAACAAGAAACTAATAACTTGCTTTCATTTTAATGCAGCGATTTTAACCTGCTAAATAGGACGAGATTAATTTCTTGTCTCTGAAATCCCAAGCATGTGTATCACTGAAAACCCCACCCAGGACACTGTTTTCCCAGAAGGAAGCTTTTTTAGACAATGGAACCACTTGGTATGCACAGAACAAGAAGGATGAATGTGCAAGGGCAGCTTTCAGGGCTGGGAACTGTTAAGGCAGCACAGCTAAGCTTCCAGTTACATCTGAACAATTGAAGCCAGAGCCACTAAGAAAGCAATGATAATGCTGGCGCCACATTCTGCACAGAGGGGTGCGGCTTCTCTTCGAGTGAATGTTACTGCTCTGAAAATTAAAAAGGAAAGAGAGAAACTTTCAGCATTGGTGTGCAACACATACTTTCAAAAATATACATGCACATGGCAAAAAAATTCAAAATAGCAGAGAAAATTATCAAGTAACAAGTAAAAGTGCCTTAGACTCCCCGTTCTTACTTCACATACCCTTTCATCTCAGCACAAATGGAACTGTAATTTTTTCCCCTAACATCATATTTTGGACATACTTCCATATTGTTCATATAAGTTCATTCATTCTTCTTCATGGATGAATCCCTACTGTATGGAAAGATCATAAAGTTAGCCAACTTCCCTACTGATGGACATTACATTGTCAGAGTTTAACTGGCGAGGGAAAACCTATCTTGACATAAAGTCACCAGGAGAGGACTGGGCCAAAAAAATGGACTCTGGTCGGGGCACCTCGGTGGCTCAGCTGGTTGAGCATCCAACTTAGGCTCTGGTCATGATTTCACGGTTTGTGGGTTTGAGGCTGTGTCGGGCTCTGTACAGAATCTGCTTGGGATTCTTTCTCCCTCTCTCTCAGACCCTCCCTTGCTCTCTCTCTCTCTCTTTCTCAAAAATAAATAAATAAACATTTTAAAAATGGACTGGTCATAGCAAATAGAGTCTGATCACTGACTGGATTTTTTAAAACAGAAATTACTGACTTTTTAGACACCAGTTCAAAGACACATTTTTTTAAATCATGAAACAATCGAATGTTGGCTTGGAAATTTATTCCTTGGTTTGGGACTCCATTTGAGTGCTGGTCATCCTTGTTCGCTAATGTTTATTGCAGCATTATTTATAATAGCAAGATATGGAAACAACCTTAGTGTCCATTGATGGATGAATGGATAAGGAAGATGTGATATTCACACACACACACACACACACACATACACACACACACAAGCACGCACGCACGTGCAGGCACATTCACAGGAATATTACACAGGCACAAAAAAAGATGTGATTTTTAGCATTTGCAACAACATAGAGGGACCTAGAGGGTGTTATGCTAAGTGAAATAAGACAGGCTGTGAAAGACAAATACCATAGGATTCACTTATATGTAAATCTAAAAGAAAAAAACACAAATGAATAAACAAACAAAACGTAGAATCAGACCTGTAAATACAGAAAACAAACTGATGGTTGCCAGAGGGGAGGAGAGTGGGAGAATGAGCAAAATGGAAGGGGAGTGGAGGATACAGACTTCCAGTTATGGAATGAATAAGTCACAAGAAAAAAAAAAGAAAAGAAAAGAAAAAAAAGCATAGGGTATTTGGTTAATGATACTATAATAGTGTTATAAGCTAACAGATGGTAGCTATACTTGTGATGAGCATAGCATAATGTATAAGCCTGTCCAATCACCATATTGTACACCTGAAACTAATGTGACATGTGTGTCAACTACACTCAAATAAAAAAACTTTAATAAAAACGAAATAAAGGAACCTCAAGCAGACACAAGTTTGTATAGGGCTCCCCCTGCTGGACATTTTCTACAATTGCACTTCTGATTCAGATTCAGTAACATTTCAGACTTGATTTACTCAAAATTCTTTTCTTTAAAATAATTAACGAATACAAGGGTATATTTATTTTTATTCTTTTAGGGAAATAAAGTATTACAGAACTAAACACAGTCATAATAAGAGTCTCCACCCTTTTTCAGATCTTACTGCCTTTCCTAGAAGTGACCACTGGTAGCAATTTGGAGTTCATCTCCTTAAACCTTTTTCATCATTGATGTCCATTATCATGCACAAATAGAAACACGCAGTTTTGCTTTGCTTTTCACGACTGGGTTCATGTTCTAGGCATTGATTTGTCACATTTTAATTTAAACTTTACCTGTTGGCATAAGGTTGTGCTTGAGGGCAATTTTTATGCAAAGAAAAAACATTATTCGCAGTTACTTTGGTTTTAAAGTTTAGTTCTAGCTATTAAACTTATAAATTCAAAAACTTTATTTCCCCATACATTTTTCTATTTAATTTATGAGTTCTGTTTAAAACTGTAGGCAGGGGGCACCTGGCCAGCTCAGTCAGCAGAGTATACAACTCTGGAAGTCGAGGTCGTGAGTTCAAGCCCCACATTGGGCCTAAAGCTTACTTTAAAAACAAAACAAAAACACCTAGAGACCTCTGATAATAACTTTATTTAAAAAGTAATCTCTGGGCACCTGGGTGGCTCAGTCGGTTAAGCACCTGACTTCACTCAGGTCACGATCTCACAGTCTGTGGGTTCTAGCCCTGCATTGGGCTCTGTGCTGACAGCTCAGAGTCTGGACCCTGCTTCAGATTCTGTGTCTCCCTCTCTCTGCCCCTCACTCGTTCATGCTCTGTCTCTTGCTCTCTCTCAAAAATAAACATTAAAAAAATTAAAAAAAAAAAAAAGTAATCTCTGTGCCCTACATGGGGCTCGAACTCACGACCCCAACATCCAAAGTCACATGCTCTACAGAATAAGCCAGCCAGGTGCCCCTGACAATAACATTTAAGGGGGGGGCTTCATACTTATTCAAATTTCCTTGGATATTTTTAACTCAGGCTATTTTAGGCTAAATTATTTTTAATTTATCATTTTAAATGCTACATTTTCTTTTTAAAATACTTCAAATGGGGCACCTGGGTGGCTCAGTCAGTTAAGCATTTGACTTCAGCTCAGGTCATGATCTCGCAGTTCATGAATTTAAGCCCCACGTTGGGCTCTGTGCTGACAGTTTTGAGCCTGGAGCCTGCTTCAGATTCTGTGTCTCCCTCTCTCTCTGCCCCTCCCCTACTCACCCTCTGTCTCTCTCTCTCAAAAATAAAAGGAAAACATTTTTTAAAAATACTTCACATGATTTTAAATGAGCAAAACCTTCTCAAACACTTGATTCTAGTAAACCTAATAAATGTTTAAAATTACATCTTAATTCTCTTAAGCATTCCAATTTCAGCTAAAAACGTAGTAAAATCTCTTATAACTTTCAACATAAAAAAAAAGCCTAAAATCAGTTATTTAATAGCTATGTATATGTCTGGAATGACAGGGCTATTTTTATATGCCAAATTCTCTAAAATGTTGTAAATAAATGCTTATATTCTATTTTTATGTGCTAAATTCTCTAAAATGCTGCAAATTAAATTAAGTACCAAAAAATGCAAGCTGTTCCTAAACTTACCATAGAACTATTAATAATATGAGTTGGATTTACATTAACAGCTGTTTATTCCATTCTAAATCTTTATAGATTAAAAGTCCTTTGCTCCACTATTCCTAAGCAAGTTGAGCTTGGAATTCCCACTTCTGTGTCTGGGGGTGTGTGGGGGAGGAGGTGTCAACAATGCATTTCGGACAGAGAATTCAGACCAAGATGAGACATTCGATGTTTCTTCTTGATCTTGACTGATACATGGAGTCCTTATTTCAATAACAGGTCTGTTTTCTCATTTCCTCACCAATCCTGTAGGTTGTCATTGGAGCATATAAGGTTGTTTTCTACATATTTTTTCACTTTAATTGTTCATGAGAATTTTTCTGTATTCTCTGTGTCTTATCACTGTTTTCCCCACACAGCTTTATGGAGATATAATCTACATACAAGGTCTACATTCTATTCCAGTAAATGTAACCCGTTGATGTAATCATTCGCTTCTCATTGGATATCTACCAGCTTCCAACGTCTGCACCTCTGATTCAATTTGGGGAACACCTTCGAGCATACAGGCTGTGCCCATATTCTGAATCGTTTCTTTAGAAGAGGGTACCAGAAGTACCCTATTGTCTGACTTAAGGTCAAAGATTATGAATACTTTTATAATGCCTGATATATATTGTCAAATTTTTTCTCCCAAAGCAATTTACAAACTTACAATGGCATCAAGCATTTAATAACACCTTTAAAATATTTTTTTGCTAGTTCTGGCTAAGGTACATCAAAGACATTGAGGTGAAAATCACACCTCATTAAATCCATATCTCACTGGGGCGCCTGGGTGGCTCAGTCGGTTGAGCGTCCAACTTCAGCTCAGGTCATGATCTTGACATTCAGTTCGTGAGCTGGAGCCCTGCATGGGGCTCGCTGACCTTAGCACAGAACCCACTTGAGATTCTCTGTCCCCTTCTCCCTCTCCCTCTCCCCTGCTTGTGCTCTCTCAAAATAAACATTTAAAAAACTGTATCTCATTATTGCTTCAAAGAGAAACTCATTCTCCATATTTGCCATTTGGGATCATCTCTTGCAAATTGTCCATCAATATTCTTAGCGACGTTGTTTAAAAAAGAGATCAGTAAAATTCCTTCCAGGGCAATGAAAGTGGAGGATAATCTGAGGGTTTTATTCTTGACATCCAATAGAATTGGGAAAGAACTATTCAAAGTCACTGAAAGAATGCCCAAACAAAGTAAAGAACAGATCAGGGATGATAAGCCCCTTCCTGGGGCGCCCAGGTCGCTCAGGCCATGATCTCAAGCTTTGAGAGTTCGAGCCCCACATCAAGCTCTCTGCTGTCAGCACAGAGCCCGTTTTGGATCCTGTCTCCCTCTCTCTCTCTGCCCATTACCCCATCCCTTATAAATAAATAAATATTAAAAACAAAACAAAAACAAAAAACCTTCCTTATCTGCTGTGATGTGAGGCATCACATTTTGAGGCAGTGTGGCTCGGTGGGAAAAACAAGGAGTTGACACACAAACTTGCATTCTGCGTCTGGCTCTAGCCAGCCCTGAGTGACTCTAAGAGATCGCTTAACCCCCTCAGCATCACTGATGGGGATCAGATTATCCACCTTCCAGGAATGCGTTTGGAAGGAAGCAAGATGATGACCCCACACAGCCACCCTGGAAGCCTGACACATCCGAAGTCCTCAGAAAGGCATCAGGACAGGTAAGGAGAGCCACCCTCAGTCACCGGGCACATCCTGCAGCAGAGGAGGTAAACTGAGGTATGGGGTGCCAGGGTGGCACCACTTGCCTATTTCAGGAGCGGCAGTGTAGGGCACAATGGTTTCACAAAAAGAAATTTTAATGATCTGTATCTGTATAAACTTGAGAGTCTGCTTAAGGAAACAGGGAGTAAAACAGTAAAGACCTGAGTTACACTGTAACACTAAGGAGCCGACGCCTCAGCTCTCCGGATTGCGCATCCCACAAAATCCTCCCAGCAACCTTACTCCCCTTTTCTCTGCCTAAGTCAGCCATTGGTTTCTGTTTCTTGCGATCGAAATCTGGAACTTATACATATGCTACCACCAGACATGTCTCCAATGTTCGTAGGACACTGGTCATTCCTTTTGGCTACCTGGCTGAACTGAGACATTGTCTCAAATCCATGCCTCTGCGGAGTGGAAATCAATTATTCATTCGTTCGTTCATTCATTCATTCATTCATTCCTAAATGCCCACGAGGTTGCAGGCTGCAGGCTCCGTGCTAGTCTCCTGGGAAACATCCATCAGTGAACAAAACAGGTAAAAGTCTCTGTCCTTCTGGGGCTTATGTTCTAAGAGGTGGGAGACAGGCAGTAAAAAATAAACTTGGGTGCCTGGGTGGTTCAGACGGTTAAGCATCCAACTTTGGCTCAGGTTTTGGTCTCCTGGTTTGTGAGTTTGCAGTGACAGTGTGGAGCCTGCCTAGGATCCTCTCTCTCGCTCTCGCTCTCTCACTCTCTCTCTTGCTCTCTCTCCCTCCCTCCCTCCCTCCCTCCCCCACTCGCATGCTCTGTCTCTCTCTCTCTGAGGCTGCAGTGCCAGAGATCTTCTAGAAGAAGCACCCAAGTGTGAGAAGCCCAGATACCCTCGGAGATGTGTATACCGAGACAGACCCCCCTCCAGCAGTTCTGGGTGGGACTTGGGGCTGGCCTCCAGTCTTGCTTCTCTGGCTCTCACAGGAAGATTCTGTCCATGACTTAAAATTGTTTAATACGTCCCATTTCTGCTGAACTACCTGGAGCTGGTGTGTGATGCTTGCAGACAAGAATTTCAACTGATGCACTTCCTACTTGAATTTGAGGAATCTGAACCCTGTGCCCAGGCCTGGCTCTTTAAGAGTCTTTCCAGTGTCCTGTCTAGAATGGAGTGGCTCAGTCGGTTGAGCGTCCGACTTCAACTCAGGTCATGATCTCACAACTCGTGGGTTCGAGCCCCACGTCAGGCTCTGTGCTGACAGCTCAGAGCCTGGAGCCTGTTTCAGATTCTGTGTCTCCTTCCCTCTCTGCCCCTCTCCTGCTCACACTCTGTCTTACTCTGTCTCTCAAAAATAAATAAATGTAAAAAAAAATTTAGAAGTTGGGGGCTTATACACCCGTTGTTTTCTTCAATCTCCACAGCAAACCTGTGAGATGGTTTCCATTATTTTTAGTTTTGGGCCTGAGAAAACTTCCCACCTCAGGTTATCTGACTCCAAGCCCAGTGCTCTTACCACCGCCAAAAGCCTCAGTGTCCACAGTCTGTGGGCAGGAAAGTTCCCACTTGGGGGGTGGTGTTTTTAGAAAAAGCATGAAGGACCCGAAAGGCCACACTAGAAGGTTGGACACAGTGGTCGGAACCGTGAAGGTCTTTAGCAGCGTGGATGGAGGGTGGGTTTCCTTTTCAGGTGAAACAAGGGAGACCCCAGGTTCATAGACCATTCTTGCTCTTTCATAAGCGGATGAGAAAAATGCACGGCTCCCCCAGGAGGTTAGCTCCAAGGTCACAAGCTGTCATGGCAGATCTGCTCGCTACTTTGCTCTCAGAACTGTCCAGGGGAGACCCGGCAGCTCCATGGTCAGGGAGCACCCAGCCTCCCTGCCTGTGCTGCTCTGCCCACCCAGCGGTGGGCGGCTCCCCGTCGCGTGGTCCAGGTCCATCCACAAGGCAGCAGGAACGTGCAGAGGGAAAGCCAGCTCCTTCCTTTCACGTGGGATTGTGGCCATCACCCCACCACAAGGGAAGCTCGAAAATACACTCGCTATTCATGGCAGCCGTGAGCCCAAGTAAAATTCAAGGTTCTCTTACTAAATGAAGGAGAGAAGAGCTCTGTGGGAATGGTGAGCAGCCCTCCTCTCTCTTTCTATGTCTGTCTGTCTGTTTCTCTTTCTCTAATGGAAAAAAATACTATTTTTTAAAATGTTTAACATGTATTTATTTATTTATTTTTTAAATGTTTTATTTATGTCTAGGAGAGAGAGAGACAGCGTGAGCAGGGGAGGGGCAGAGAGAGAGGGAGTCACGGACTCTGAAACAGGCTCCAGGCTCTGAGCTGGCAGTCAGCACAGAGCCCGACATGGGGCTCGAACCCATGAACCGTGAGATCATGACCTAAGCGAAAGTCGGACGCTTAACCGACTAAGCCACCCAGGTGCCCCTTAACATTTATTTTTGACAGAGAAGAGAGAGAGAGACAGAGAGACAGAACACAAGCAGGGGAGGTGCAGAGAGAGAGGGAGACACAGAATCCGAAGCAGGCTCCAGCTTCCGAGATGTCAGCACTGAGCTGGACACAGGGCTCGAACCCATAAACCATGAGATCACGACCTGAGCCAGAGCCAGATGCTTAAGGGACTAAGCCACCCAAGTGCCCCAAAATGAACAAAATATTCTATGTATGCAGACAGTACAATGTCTGGCATACAGCCCCGGTGAACACCCTCGTCCCCCCGTAGATGGAAGAGCGGATGCTACACACATTACGGAATACCCACTGTGCACAGCCATTGCATCAGGGTAGGCTCGGCTCTGCCAACATGGGAGTTCAGCTCACTTGGGCAGATGTCCATCAAACCTGCACCAACCTAGATCCTCAGAGAGCCTGAGCAGCACAGTGCAAGCACAGAACTTATTCCACAGCCACGTGTTTTAGGGCGCACATGTAAAATCATACTGCAATTCATCAGTTGTGTGAGTAGTCAGGCCTGGTTATCTTCGGGAAGCAAGGTCGGGGCAGGAAATCTACTTACGAATTTAAGACACAGTCGGGATGAGTGCTGTGGTCCACACACATTAAGAGCTTCACTGGTCTATAGAGTGAAAAGAAATAATATTTAAGGCATTATTTAAGTGACTTTCACTCATCAAATATTCACAGTGTACCTGGAAAACACTGGGGACACAAAGTCTCTCACCTAAATAGCACACAAGCTATTTGTTTTTAAAAATATTAGCCAGCATTTATTGAGCATTTACTACATACCAAGAAATTTGATGATGGATTTTTTTGTTTTGAATTGTTTTCAGCTTTATTTATTGTTGAGAGAGAGAGACAGCAGACAGAGTGCAAACAGGGGAGAAACAGATACAAATTCCGAAGCAGGCTCCAGGCTCTGAGCTGTCAGTACAGAGCCCGACATTGGGCTCAAACTCACGAACTGCGAAATCATGACCTGAGACGAAGGCAGACACTTAACCAACTGAGCCACCCAGTCGCCCCCGACGATGGATTTATTTTATATAGACTTTACCATTTAATCCTCACAACAGCAAAACAGCGCGGTTGTTATTACCGTCTCCAACGTACAGCTGAGGAAGCTAATCGGAGTAACGTGCCCAAGAACATACAGGCGGCTGCAGAGCTGAATGTGCACCTTGCAGGCTCACACTAGAGCCCAAGCATGGAGCCACCCAAGCAAGGATGTACAGTCTTGCCTGGAAAATCCTCTTGATGAGTTCTTTAGTCAGAAAATTGGACCTGAAACACACGGGTGACGGCTATTTCCCAGGCTCCAGCGACAAAGAAAGCTGAACCACTCTGGAAGCAGAGGGAGGAGACGTGGAGTCCTGGGACGGCAGGGAAAGCAGTAGTGCACAGAGCGGCCAGGTCACAGAGGTACATGCCACACTAGGTAGGAGTCAGGAAATGCGTTGTTTGCTCTGTTGCTTCCTGGGACTTGCCTACTTTCCAGTAAAGTCTACGATACACGGCTATTTGTTAGGACAGTAGTTTCTCGCCGTTGTCTTATGCCCCCCCACTCCAAAGTCATTGAGTTTCACCGAGTCTGGCTCACAGAAATCAACCAGAAGGCAAGAGAGGCTATGAAAAGAGAAGACTTGGCCACAGTTTGCAAGAATCTTGGGGAGAACTTCCGTCTGCCACAGGTGACAGAGGACAATGTCACCTGAAATTTATGGGGCGGGCTCTCAGTTACATCTGGGTTGGAGTTTGGATTGTTACCCTTTGTGACTCTGCTACAGTAAGCCTTTTGCTATCTCCCCTGTGCTCCATGGAGCAAAACAAAACCCCACCTTAACACAAGGGCCCATGCATGGGCAGTGAAGAAGTGGAAGAGGGGAGCTGAGCCAGGCTTGCAAGGGGAGCGCCCGAAAGGCCAGCATCAGTGGGGACCACACTGAAGCCAGTGACAGCAGGCTGAGTCCCCGAGGACAGCCCCACATGGGCAGGGAAGGAGACCTTGGGCTCAGGCCTGGGTCACCATACTTGGCCTGACGACTTATAAAGACAGCCTCCTCAAGGGAATTCTGGGCCAAAGCAAATTGGTCCTACATGTGCAACTTTTTGGCACAATTTTCTCCATCACTGAGCAGTTTTAGCAAATAAAAATTGTATTTTAAGGGGCGCCTGGGTGGCTTAGTCGGTTAAGCGTCCGACTTTCGCTTAGGTCATGATCTCGCGGTTTGTGGGTTCAAGCCCCGCGTCGGGCTCTGTGCTGACTGCCAGCTCAGAGCCTGGAGCCTGTTTCAGAGTCTGTGACTCCCTCTCTCTCTGACCCTCCCCTGCTCACGCTGTCTCTCTCTCTCTCCTAGACATAAATAAAACATTAAAAAAAAATTAAAAAAAATTGTATTTTAAGAAAAATATAAAGAAATCTGGTGTTCTCTTGTTGTGATAAGCCCTGGATGTTGTATGGAAGTGTTGAATCACTATACTGTGCACCTGAAACTAAAATTACATGGAATGTTAACTAACTGGAATTTGAACAAAAACACTAAAAATAAATAAAATAAAATCTGGTGCCTTAAGAAAAGAAGGGTCCTGGGGTGCCTAGGTGGCTCAGTTGCTTAAGTGTCTGACTTCAGCTCAGGTCATCTCAGGATTCATGAGTTCGAACCCCACATCGGGCTCTGTGCTGACAGCTCAGAGCCTAGAGCCTCCTTCAGATTCTGTGTCTCCCTCTCCTTTCTCTGCCCCTCCCCCACTCATGCTCTCTCTCTGCCTCAAGAATAAATAAACATTAAAAAAAAGAAAAGAAAAGAAAAGAAAGGGTCCTAGAGTAGAGGGGTGCCTGGGTGGCTCAGTTGGTTAAGCATCCAATGCTAGATTTCAGCTCAGGTCATGATCTCACAGTTTCGTGAGTTTAAGCCCCACATCCAGCACTGCGCTGATAATGTGGCGCTAACTTGAGATTCTCCCTCTCTCTCTGCCCCTCCCCTGCTCAAACTCTCTCTTTCTCAAAAATAAACAATTAATAAAAAAACTTTAAAAAGGGTCATATAGTAGGAAGAAAAGAGCATACTTCAAAGCCATACAACGCTGGGTTCAAACTTATTAGAAAACTTATTTAATCTCTCTGACCCTTAATTTACTCATCGGTGGAAAGCAAGTATTTATATAAAGGTTAACAACAGACAAAAGAAATCTGCGACAAGTCTAGACAGAAGTTACTATTGTGGGCAGGTGGGGAGACTGAAACGGAGGCCAAGGGGAGACTCTGGGGTGCAGGTTATATGCTTCTTGATCTAGACGTGTGTGTGTTGAACTTGTGAAAACTCATTCAACCGTGTGCTTAGGGCTTGTGCATTTTCCCGTACATAGTTTATATTTCCCCCACAGAGTATGTGCCTTGTTTGGTTTCTTAATAGAAGGTGGTAACACCTAACTTTTGAGATTCCTGAGAGCGTTAATAATAACAGATGAGTAAAATGGGACAGCTTGAAGCTGTGGAAAACAGCTCTGAGAGGCTCCTTCTCCAGGAAAGTGGAAGGCAACCCACATTTCCCATGGGCTTTGCTCAGTGGGGATGACACAGAGCCACTGAGAAGGCATAGTGCACCAGAGCCAGACGGATGTTCGTGGGGACAGGACAAGACTACAGATCGAATATCCACCCTGCTGTATCCACCAATTTTCGGGAAAGCCACTAAGGCCTTGCAATGTCGAACTTCAGTCCCTAGGAACCAAGCAGGGCTGCAGACTTAGGCAGTGAGGCAGAGAAAAGCAGGAAGCAGCAAGGAAAGGAATTCCCAGCCCAAGGGAGGGTTTTCAACTGCACCAGGGTTTCAGCCAAGCTGAATCTAAGTTTCCAAGAATCAGGAAAGCCCTCAGGCAATACGTAAGCACACAAAGTGCTTAACCCATAACGTGCTCAGCAAACCATAGCCCTTACTATTTTCCTCTTGGTCCACTGTCAAGATCTATCTGTAAGTATCTCAAACAAACGCACCTTAGCACCTATCTTGGGCCAGGATCCATGGCATCCACAGATGCAGGGAACACAGCATCTGACCTCAGGTTACTCACCATTGCTCTAAGCAAGGGAGGGGGAACGGGACATGCACAAGGGAAACGGGGCTTTTCTGTCTGTCCTTTAAGCATCTTTTTGAGGGAGAGAGAGCGAGCACGTGCAAGCATGCTGGAGAGGGACTGGAAAAGAAAGAATATCTTAAGCAGGCTCAATGCTCAGCATGGAGTCCAACACAGGGCTCAGGCCCACGACCCTGGGATCATGACCTGAGCAGAAATCAAGAGTCAGACCCTCAACCGTCTCAGCCACCCAGGTATGTCCTTGAAACATCTTTAAAAGAGACTCTGGACATAAATGGGTGTGACCCAGACAGAGGTCTGGCCAGAAGGCACTCTTCTGCCCTCACGCCCAGTAATAGCCCAGAAGGCACAGCCCAGTGGTCTTCAGCGCTGATCCACCAGAATCCTTCCAAAAACACTGCTCCACCTTTGAAACTGCGCACTGATTAGGACATACAACCTACAGGTGATCATTAATACAGGTGTACTGAAAACCCATTTTTTCCAGTCTCTCTTCCAGGATTTTCACACTGCCTTCTCCACAGGATTCCCTAAAATACAAAAACATATAAATAAAATTAAAGAAGAAGAAAGAAGGAATTGGTTTCCGCGTGAACTACAATGTCCTATGACCACGTGCTTCCTGAGCTCGGCTCCACTCTGAGGGAATACGGGAAAACTCAGGGCAACCTAGAAAGCTGAGCGCTGAGAACCAATCTGTCGGGTCCAGCTCAGGGTCGGACCTGCCCTGGCGCATGCGTGGTGCGCCACAGGGCGCTCCTCCGCCCTCCCCCCATCAGCACACCTTAGGGCAGAGCCCCAGGTCCCCAGAATGCTGGCGACTTGTGCACCATACAGTATGTTTTAAATGAAAACAAGAACATGCAAACCAAAAATTATGAAAAATGCAAACAAACAGGGAAAAAAAAAACCTCACTGCAATCGCACATCACTAGAGGTAACTGCCATTAACATTTTGGTGTATAGGGTTCTAGACCTTTGAAATACATTCATTCCCACGAGACTTTTTAAATATAACAATAGGCTTCTGCTGTGCAACGCATTTTGTAGTCTGCCTTGGCCCATGTCTGTTTAAGTATGTATATATACTTCTTTAATCTGGCATGATCTCCCTTACATCATCAGGACACGATTCATAAAACCAGACCCCTCTTGTTGATGATCAAGGCTGATGCCTATATTTTGATGTCACAATATCCACCCTGTGGAAGCTTCATTTCCAAACCCATCTTAAATTACTTATTTCCTTAGCATAAATTCCTGAAAGTACGTTTTCTGCACCACAGTTTTCATTGCATTTTAAGGCTCTTCGATAGTGTTAAAGAACAAACATTCAAGGGAGTAAACCTGAAAATCTAATTGGCTTTATTCAACAATTCAGGAATAGAGCTGCAACCCTTCTAGGAAACAGATGGGCGCCTCGAGGAGTTGCACAAAGTGGAAGTCTTTTGTGTGGGCAGGAGGGTGTAACAAGGAAGTTATTAGCAAAAGAAAAGACATGATTAATTCAGGACAAGTCATCATTTGCAATTTCCTTATCTCACTAAATGTAGGTTCAAAAGACAAGCTTTCTCTGATAGAAAGGTTAAAATAACAAGCAAGCATAATTTCCAGACGAGGAGCAACTTCCCACAGAATAAGGAAAAATAATATGTACCGTTTTTGTATGCAACATAAGTATAATTTGTCTTATGGGAAGAGAAATGTAGATCCTGGTATGATTGTGTAGTAAGTCATTTGCAAATCTAATCTCTTGCCTAAGAGACAGGAAAAAGTATTCACTCATTATAGGGTGAGTCTCACAGGGTTTTGGGGGCCTTAAATGGGGAAGTTGCTAAGATTCTCCCAGGCAATGCTTTGCCTCAATGCTCGGAAGAACAAGGCCCCAACTTGCCCCTTACGCTCCACTGTGGCTGCCAGCTCGAACTAGGCTTGGCCTCCTTGGCTTGTCTCTGAATCACCTGGGTTTATGTTTCTTTTTTTAATGTTTATTTATTTATTTTGAGAGAGAGAGAGAGAAAGACATAGCAAGCAGGGGAAGGACAGAGAGAGAGGGAGAGAGAATCCCAAACAGGCTCTGCACTGTCAGCGCAGAGCCGGGTGTGGGGCTCAAACTCACTAACCGTAAGATCACGACCTGAAAATCAAGAGCCGGATGCTTAACCAACTGAGCCACCCAGACACCCCTAGGTTTATGTTTCTTATCTTCAGTTTTCCCAGCACTGCCCCTCACAGACAAATAGGATGAGTTCAGGCCTGCATTTATGTACACTCAAGTGGTTTTCCAGAAAAGATGGACCTTAACCACTTCCTTGTCCAGTGATCTTGAGGAGCCTGAAATTAAGGCCTCCATTAAGAGCAACCTCGGGCTGCACGTAGCCCCAGTTCCAGGAAAAGCTTCAGCTGAAGCCACCTTCGATCAGCCAATCAAAAGAAACGTGTAACATTCCTGTGGCCTGAGTCAGGGCTGGGAACTGCAGGTAGTTACTCTGCACAAACTAGGCAATCACTCACCGCTGGCCTAAGCCCCACGTAGGCCCTTTGAGCTCACCTCATAATTGGTCATTTTCAAAGGATTCTCAAAGCTCATGATTGGGTCCCGCCAAAAGTAACGGATGCCTCACGGATACTGAATGGTCAAAACTGTTACTATGGGTGCTGTACAATTAGGATTGGTGCTTATGTGATGATGCTATACGTACAACACGTGCACTGTAACACCCCCGTCCCTTACCCCATAAAAACCCTGCTCGCTATTGTTCGGGGCTTCACCCTGCTGCCGCTGCGCCGGTAGACGGGTGAGCCCCTGCTCGAGCTTGTAATAAAGACCCTTATTTACTTGCATCAGTGTCGGCTCCTTGGAGGTCTCTGGGGACTCGCGATTTGGGCACAAAAATCTAAGACCCAGTCCAGTTGTAAAACTGGGTCTTCTCCAAGAATAAAGTTTTCATTACAAACTCCTTGGGTTAATTGTGAGAACTCCTGGTGGGGGACTTCAAGCAACCATGAGGAGAAATTGGCTTTGACCCACAGGGATGCGTAAGGAACTCTCCCATTAATGCTGCCCAGAGAGCTCAGAAAGGACCACAATTTTCCTCTACTGAGAATAGTATCTGAATAAAGGAGGTTTTCTCTCGACTCAGGACTGGTTAGTGGCATTTCCAAAAAGTTGAGCCTTTGTCTTTCTTTACTCATGACATTAGAAACAGAGAAGAGTGCTGTTTCCCCAAAAATGAAAAGGTACAATGGGCTTGATCATATTATAATCAAGAAAAGCATATTTGCACAGTTTCCATCATCAGAAACACCATGACTTACACCTTTGGTCTCCCAATTTCATGCATAACCCAGATCTCAATTCGTGTGATTTTATCCTTCTGGAGATAGGGAATTTCAAAATCTGCAAAAAAACTGAGAAACAGAAAAGACATTTCTTAAAGTCTTAAAGCAATAACTTTTCCCATTTTGTTAATTGATTTATACATTACTTTTGTTTTGAGGGGTGTTTCGAGGGGGTATTTTTAGCTTTTATTTTTAGGTAATTTATTTCATTCATGCATTCATCAGCTATTAGTGGCAGAAATGTGTAGACATGGCTCTGATCTCCAGGTCATTCAATTGTTTTGCTTTACTGAAATTTACAAAAGCAAGCATTTATACTGGGGATTAAGACAATGTTCTTAAGCCTCCATTTGAAAAAATGAAGTATACGTTTTGGTGTTCTTTGTTGTATTTGTTCATGCTGGTGTTCTTACCCTTTAACAGGATAGGCTCCTTTGGGCTCTGAACCGTTCAGCATGACGTGAATGACCCCAGAACTATCCCTTGAATACTGTAAGAAGGAACAAGTTTTTTGAGTAAATGAAGACATGTCATCTTTCAGCTACGAAATGAGCAATTTTTTAAAACTGACAATCCTCAGGGTGCCTGGGTGGCTCCGCTGGTTAAGCATCTGACTTCAGGCCTGATGGACTTGACGGACTTGGGACATCCGAGTTCAGGTCATGATCTCACAGTTTGCTAGTCAAGCCCCTCATAGGGCTCTGTGCTGACAACTCAGAGCCTGGAGCCTGCTTTGGATTCTGGGTCTTCTTCTCACTCTCTGCCCCTGCCCCAATCACTCTCTGTCTCTCCCTCTCTCAAAAATAAATGTTTAAAAAAACTAAAAAAATAAATAAAACTGACAATCTTCAATATTAGTAAGAATGTACTAAATTTGATATTTCAAAACGATTTTGATATTCCATATAGCTGGTAGAGATACAACGAGTGTATCTTGGAATCCAAATTGCTTTGAAATGTCAAAAGCTCATGATTCAGTGATTCCATGTCTGGGAATCTACTCTGAGGAAGTAATGTGATTCCAGCATTGTAACAGCTAGAACAGACTAAATTACACTGCCATTGCGAACAACTTCAAAATCACAGTGGCTTTAAGCAAGAAAGAGTTGTTTCGTGCTCACTCTACATGTTTATCACAGGTCGACTGGGGGTTTGCTCCATATGTCCTTGCTCTGGCACCCAAGCTGATGAAGACTCCATATCTGTAAAGTTGTTGATTGTCAGGGAAGGGAGAAGGAGACAGTGGCAGATCACAGACCAGTTCTTAAAAGTATCTACCCAGAAATCACACACGCTCCCTCTCACATCTCTTTGACCAGCGCAAGTCACACACAAGTAACTTCAACAGGCAGGGGAATGCAAACCATGTATGCAGAAGATGAACCAGACATATTTTGTAGACAACTCTAAACAACTCTAAAGACCAACACAAGCATTGTGCACAGAGGTGTGTGCAGCAGCACTGTGTGTAAGCAACCTAAAATAGTCAACAACAAAGGACTGGTAAGTAACCCAAAGTACTTACATGTCGGAAATATTAGCCAACTGTTACTAAAAGTCCACAGAAGATTTGCAAAATCAAGAAGTGCTCACATTTGAAGCAAAATGCAAGATGATGTAGACAGAGCACGAGCCCTACAGTGCTCAAAATAAATGGGCAAAAGTCTGGGAACATTAGTTAACCCCCCAAAATTCCCAAGGAAGAGATAGGTCCAGAGAAGTTCCCAACTCTCCAGTTCAGAATACTACTGCCTGGCTCAGTCCATAGAGAATACAACTCTTGATCTGGGGGTTGTGAGTTCAAGCGCCACAATGGGCATAGAGACTACTTACAAATAAAACCTTTAAAAGAAGGAAAAAAAAGGATAGTACTAGAACATACAATTTCCCTTATAAAATGTTTATGTTAGAGTGAAGCAGGGAGCCTGAAACGCAAGTGGCACTGAGATATCCATGGCTGGACTTATTATCTTACAAAGTGATGTCTAATATCAGCGGCAGCAAAGCGACAATGCACTTCATGTTGTGTATGTTTTTGCTTGCTTTGAAATAATGCTAATGGTCACAGTTAAATCCACAAATGCCAAGGTCTAATGACCACTATGCTGAAGGGGTCACGTTTATTTATACATGATGAATTTTCTTATTTATATTTTCTATAATTTGTCATTTAAAACAAAAAAAATTTAATTTTTTTAATGTTTATTTTTGAGAGAGAGACAGAATGCAAGCAGGGAATGGGCTGACAGAGAGGGAGACACAGAATTTTAAGCAGGCTCCAGGCTCTGAGCTGTCAGCATAGAGCCTGATGTGGGGCTGAATCCACCAACCGTGAGATCATGACCTGAGCCAAAGTTGGACACTTAACCAACCAAACCACCCAGGCACCCTTTAAAAATATTTTTTTAAGAATAAGTCTAAAAAAAACAGAATAAGTTTAGAAAGAACTTCAAGATCTTTCTTCTTCTTTATAAATGTTTATTCATTTATTTTTGAGAGAGAGAGAAAAAGAGAGAGGGGGAGAGAGAGAGAGAGAATCCCAAGCAGGTTTTACACTGTCAGCACAGAGCCCAACTCAGGGCTTGATCCCACAAACCGTGAGATCATGACCAGAGCCAAAACCAAGAGTCAGACAACTAACTGGCTAAGCCACACAAGTGCTCCGGCAATTTGTCATTTCTTAAAATCCTGAGCAGCTATTACATTGATAAGAAAAAAATATAATAAAAAATGTATGCAGATATAATGAAGCTATATGGTGGTAGTGGTTGTAAGTGGATCCTCCTAGCTCTGTAATAAACCTGGTTAAGTTCCCTGATCTCTTTGTGCCTCATTGTTCTTATCTGTAAAGCAAGGGTCATAAGGATCCCTACCTCATAGGATTATTGTAAAGATTAAATCATTTAAAATAATAATTATTGGGGCACCTGGGTGACTTACTTAATTGGCTAAATGTCTGACTTTGGCTGAGGTCATAATCTCACGGTTTGTGAGTTCGAGCCCCACGTCGGGCTCTGTGCTGACAGCTCAGAGCCTGGAGCCTGCTTCAGATTTTATGTCTTTCTCTCTGCCCCTCCCCTGCACACACTCTTCTCTCTCAAAAATGAATAAATGTTAAAAAAAATTTAAATAATAATTATTAACATTTATTGAATACTTCTCTGCTACAATTCAAACCCTGTCCTCATTATTATACTAAACTCCCTCTCTTTATGCATAGACGACCCAGCACATTCTAAGGGCTCATAAAATGTGGGCGTAATTCTTGGACTCCCATCCTAGAGTTGGAGAAGGTATAGGAGGTTGGTTTGGAGCCCGCTCTGATGTTGGGCAGATCCACTGCAAAGAGTATGTGTTTTTTTTGGTTTGGTTTTGTTTTCTTTAACGAGAATGTTGACATTGCCCCTCATTTGTTGTTATAACCCCACATTCAGGCGATGATTCATCCCCAGCCTCCATGAGGGTTGGCAGCCCAGTGCTCACAGAGTGGAGTCTCCACTGGAAACGAAGCCTATGGGTGTGAGTGGAAGTGGGGTGTCCCCGCTGGAGCAGCAAAAGACAGAAATAAACAGCGCTTTTTGCCTGGAACGGGCCCTTTGCCCTGCTCTAAACCACAGCATGGAGGAAGATCTAACAACAGTCACACTGATTCACAATGGACCCGGTGGACACCTGGGGATCCAGAATGGGACAAAGAGGGACATGGACAGCCCTGAAAGGGGGTTGGTGGTGGTAGGTGGGATGACCCTGATGTCCACTGGCCTCCTAGTCAATATAGCCAACGTTTCATAGACTAGCATTAACCCGCAGCAGGATAGTCCTTCCACAAAGGGCCATTTTGTGTGTCTTCAGTTTATCTTCTGCTCACCTATCACCTCCTCTATCATTAATATCAGTCTCAGAGACATATCTGACTCCCACATCACAGTCTCAGGTGTCCCAGGGGTTTGTATAAAACAAGGGTCACTGTTTGCACGTATAGGAGGATTAGGAGGAACTTAACGGAGGACCATGGGGGAGAAGAAGGGGGGAAATGGTGGGGGAGAGGGAGGGAGGCAAACCNTTGTATAAAACAAGGGTCACTGTTTGCATGTATAGGAGGATTAGGAGGAACTTAACGGAGGACCATGGGGGAGAAGAAGGGGGGAAATGGTGGGGGAGAGGGAGGGAGGCAAACCATGAGAGACTCTGGAATGCTGAGAACAAACTGAGGACTGATGGATGTGGGGGGGAGGGGGGAGATGTGCGTGGAGGAGGGCACTTGTGGGGATGAGCACTGGGTGTTATATGGAAACCAACTTGACAATAAACTATTTGTAAAAAAAAAAAACACACACAAAAAAACCCAAGGGTCACCCCATGTTACATAGCAATCAAAACCACATTGATTTGAAACACTAAGGGGAACCACAGCATGGTAGTGATAATAATGATGATTTAATATTTCATCTATGCCAACACTCACTGAACGTGTCCCATGCGGCACTTCCTGCATTAAGTATTTTGGGCTCCTATGTCCTCATACCTCTATGGAGCAGAGTGAATCTGACTGTGGCTCACATGGATAGGAAGAGAGGCTCAGAGAAGTTAAGTCATGACCCGATTGGCCAGACTCTGAACCCCACTGTCTCGTGTTTACGGGCCCACACGTGCTCAGCCTCTCAGCCGCCCTCCCCACACTTACCTGCGAAGACGCCATTTTCCAGTAAGAATCCACAGGGTTGTTCTCACAATCTTCTGACGTAGGGCAGGACTGATAATCGAGTCCTAAGGGGAAAACAGACAAACATGTTTCATTTCAAACGTTATATCAGAGAAGAATTAATTTAAAATATTTGCTGTCCCCACAAAATCTATTTAGCTTGTGTTTACGAGTTTGACATTCACGACAGTTCTGCCCACCCAATCCAAAGGAACCGGTGAGGAAGACAAGTGTCGTTTTGCTCAGCATAAACGTAGAAAGGCAGAGAACTAAGCAGTTGGCTAGTGAGTAAGGCTGCCGACCACTGAGCATCAGCCTGTTAGCTGCGCTATTTCTTTACTGAAGTTCTAGTGAAGTGATTTTTAAAAAATCTTTGTAGGTGCCTGGGTGGTTCAGTCAGTTAAGCATCTGACTCTTGATTTTGGCTCAGGTCATTATCCCAGGATTGAGGGATCGAGCCCCATATCAGGCTCTACACTGAGCATGGAGCCTGCTTAGGATTCTTTCTCTCTCTCTCTCTTTTTCTCCCTCTGTCCCACACCCTTGCTCATGTCCTCTCTCAAACATAAATTTTTTAATGAAAAAAAGAAATTTGCTTTGTTGGGAGAAGTGCCTTCTCCAGTTAGCCCTGGTCTTAGACATAAATACAACAAAAATACACCAAGAAAGTGATAGTCCTTGGCCAGAAAACAGAAATTTTATAAAATTTAAAATGTATAAAGTGTTAAAATGTATTAATTCCTTAAAATTTTAATGATAGAATTCAGCAGCCATATAATGGGATCTGTCCAGCATTTTCTCTATAAAAAAGGAAAAGGTACTCATTGACAAGGTGTCCCAGAGAGAATCAAACAGGGCAACATGTGTGCTTCTGAGGGGATACATGGGGAGCCCCCATACCCCCTCCTGGCCCACCACCCTCCCAGCATCTGCATTCACCAACTCAGAAGCCCTCTGAACCCCACTACCCAGGAGTGTTATGAAATTTCATTATGCAGATGCAATGGATCAAATCGCCAGCTTGGCGATTAACTCAACCTCCAGCCCTTCTTTCCATCCTGGAGGATAGATATGGACTGAAAGCTCACAGGCTCTCAGCCCCCACGTGAAGCTACGAAGGGGCCCCCAGCCCCTAGTCATTTCATTAACCCACAAAAGACACTCTTCTCTCTTCAGATTCCCAGGGCTTTAGAAGCTATGTGCCAGGAAATGGGGACAGAGAACAAATATTTGTTTGGGATTATACCATACTCTCCCTTCCTTCATGTTCTTTCTCTCATACCCCTCCCGCATTCTCCCCACTCTGCTGCAGGATAACCAAACAGACTTCCTGGTCGCTGTCCATTGAACGAATGACCGTGTCCATTGATCTGAGCCCTGGAATTTTCCCATCTCCCAGTGAAAGCCAGAGTCCTCATAGATCTCATGCTGTCTGGCCTTCCTCTATTCCTCTAACTTTTCTCTTTAGTTACTGTGGTCCTTGCTGTTCCTTAAATATGCCAGACACCCTTCCACAGACTACTTGCCTGTGTATTGTCTTATCTCCCCCTCTATAGTATGATTTTCCTGTTTTATTCTCTGTTGTGTTCCCAGTGCCTAGAAGAGGAAGGCCTGGTACATAGTACGCACTCTATGGCTCTCAGTTGGATGAACGGATGACTATAGAATATACAGAACAATTAGGCTAACTTTGAACATGACTCCAATACTCAGGGAGGGGGAATCTCCAGTTTTTATCAAGAGAGCACCCCATCCCACCTTACCTGCTCGCCCTTAGCCCTTCAAGACTCACTGAGAACCAAGAACTGCTGAGAAGCTTCCCAGATCCCCTGGTGTAGGCTGGTGTCTGTGTTACTACTTGGGATGTGGCTTTTCCTGCGTCAGAGCACAGCGCAGAAAGGAATGTCTCTCACGAGGCTATAAGTGACTCAAGGATGGGGGCTGTTTTATCTCCGGTTCCCAGAAGGATCTGGATGCATGAGGAGAGTTTTCATCCCCACCAGGCCAGCCCCTGCGACTTTCACTGTGATTTCAGTCTCCAAATGTCTGCTGGCATTTGGCGTGGCATGTAAGAGCACACAGGCTTCAGAATCCATCAGGAGAGAATTAACTCCTGGCCCAGCTTCCTCCAGTGATTTAACCTCCCTAAGGATCAGTTTCCCTTTCTGGAAAATGAAGGTGGTGAGGCCAAGGTGTGCAGGATTGGGAGCACATGTTCTGGAGTCGGGCTGTCCGACTCTGCTGCTTCCTGGCTGTTCACTCCTCAGCAAGTTTCTTTACCTTGCTGTGCCTCAGTGTCCTCATTTATCAAAACAGAGATTAGGAGAAGACCTATCTGTTGGGGCTGGTACAGAGATTAAATTAGTTAATCCTGTATATGTAAAGTGCTTAGAGAGTACCCAGCAAAAGATAAGTGCTTTCTACCTATTATTGTTATTATTAATTATTATTACCACCTGCCTTAGAGGATTTGTGGGGAATCAAATGAGACAAATGCATATGAAAGCACTTAGCACAAATGGCAAATGCACAGTATGTACTCAAATAGGAGTTCTTATTTTTATTTTTAAGACTTTACGGGGTGGGCGCCTGGATGGTTCAGTCAGTTAGGCATCAACTTCAGCTCAGGTCATGATCTCATGGCTTGTGAGTTCGAGCCCCATGTCAGGTTCTGTGCTGACAGCTGAGAGCCTGGAGTCTGCTTCAGATTCTATGTCTCCCTCTCTCTCTGCCCCTTCCCTGCTCGCTCTCTCTCTCTCAAAAGTAAATAAACATTTAAAAAAAAAAAAAAGCTTTTATTATTTTATTTATTTATTTATTTATTTTTAATATTTTTATTTATTTCTAGGAGAGAGAGAGAGAGAGAGACAGTGTGAGCAGGGGAGGGTCAGAGAGAGAGGGAGTCACAGACTGAAACAGGCTCCAGGCCCTGAGCTGGCAGTCAGCACAGAGCCCGACGCGGGGCTCGAACCCACGAACCGCGAGATCATGACCTGAGCGAAAGTCGGATGCTTAACCGACTAAGCCACCCAGGCGTCCCAGCTTTTATTTTTTTAAAGCAATCCTACACCCAACATGGGGCTCGAACCCACAACCCCAGAATCAAGAGTTGCATGCTCCAACAACTGAGCCAGCCATGTCCCCAGAGCTCAAACTTTTCTTGTGGTTTGTCCAGGACTCTTACCGGATGCATTTTCCTGTCGACACCAGCTCAGAAAATCTCCAATCCTGCCGTACAGAACATCACACAGAGGCATAAAGCGACGGGCATTCTCTGCATAACTAGTGACAAGGAGGTGGTTGTTTTCCCAGAACAGGGACTAAGGAAAAAACAAACACACAATTACCATATAAAGTAAAATCAAGGTACTTTTTTCCAGACACGTCAGGCAGTCTATTTCTCATTCAACTCCAGCTTGCCTGACAACTGAACTTTCTTTTTCTTTGTGTTTGTTTACCCATTCAGAGAGTGTCCTAATTGCTACTCCCGTTATTCCTGGGGTATCAGGCAATTAACAAAATACTTTTCCAGTGGTGTATATATAAACATTCTTGGATTTAAAAAAAGATCAAAGGACCTGGCTTTGAATCCTGACTCTGTTCATATACTAGATGTGTGATCTTGAGCAAGGCCTGTAATCTCCCTGTGCCTCAGTTTCAACATCTGGAAAATGGGGAGCATGAGCCCTTTCTCTTCTTCCACAGCTGTGTTCAGGGTAATATGTAACCACAAAAAAGCACTTCCCAGGGTGTAAGGTGCCTCCGAAATATGTTACTTTTATATTTGTTTTACAATTTCCACTCTAAAGCTAGTTTTCACATAACAGTAAAACAAATAATGATATCCCTCTTATGATCTCATTAGATCCTTAAAAGTCCACTTGGTCTATGCCTAGGCTGGAAGCTTCCTGAGGGGGGTCTGTTTTGTTCTCTGTCACAACCTCAAGCCTTAGCACAATGTCCAGCAGGAACTATTTCCTGAGTTCATCAGCTAGCACCAAAATCATGAAAGAAGAGAACAAAATTTATGGTTCCTCTCTTTACTGGCAAGGAGGCAGCAAGGTGCAAAATGCAACGTATTCTTAAAAATCATTATTTTCATCTATGATATCACTGAACCTTCCAGCTCCATCAGACACAATGTTAAGATTTTCTCATTGGTAGACATTACTGTTACTGATTTTATAGTGAAAAATCAGGTGAAGAATTATGTTTTCAGAGAAACAAAGAATATATCTTTCTTTAAACTCAAAGTATTGTTCTAAGCAAGCATTTTATGTAGATTTTCTCATTTATTTTCATTTTATTAGAATTCAGAAAGAACACAGACATGTGGTTTTCTTAAAGAAACTGGTACTGAATAGATAGAATCCTAAGATTCCTTAAAGTAAGGGATCAGGGGGCGCCTGGGTGGGTCAGTCGGTGAAGCGTCCGACTTCGGCTCAGGTCATGATCTCCCGGTTTGTGAGTTTGAGCCTCGCATCAGGCCTCTGTGCTGACAGCTCAGAGCCTGGAGCCTGCTGCGGATTCTGTGTCTCCCTCTCTTTCTGTCCCAACCCTGCTCACACTCGGTCTCTCCTTCTCTCTCAGAAATAAGCAGGCATTAAAATAATAATAGTAATAATAATAATTGTTTAAAAAGGAGGGATCAGTCTTCTGGGAAGATACTGAGGCAAAAGGCTTTCTGAGTCCCTCAAAGTTCAGACCAAGTGGGGCCAGTTGGAACACAAGTTATTCAGAACTGGCTGGGGGCAGAGGCCCAGGAAAAAGGTGTGGCAATGTCTTAATGTAGCGATTCCTGCACAGACTTGTTGACCTAGGAAAGCTCCTTCTGCTCAGACAGGCAGGAGACCCGGGATTACCAGTGTAGACAAAGACGTCTTCCCATCAGACGGCTCAGGTGAGTTTGTTGCTTAATTTTTCTGTTGATACTGAAACAGGGTCCCACAGGGTCTTTACACCTGTCGCAGGCACTCTGTATCTCTGTAGAGACGGAGAGGAGCATTTTACCTTATCTCTGGGGATGGAGTGTCTGGAGAGGCTAATAAAACGGTCATAGTCCGAGGGCAGTACGGAACAGGGATCCTTGTCCAGAACCACTTTAAAGGCTTCCCAGATAGCTGTGCAGTTCTTGTCCCTGTGCAGAAGTACACATTAAAAAAAGAAAAAAACCCAGCCATGATGTGATGTGAAGTAGTGCCATGCCTCTCAAAGTTCAACAGCTTTACAAGCAATTTTGCCACTTATTAACTCTGCAGAACCAAGGAAGATATCCAAGTGTCGTGTCTTATGAATTAACCCCAACTGAGAAGAGGAGAAGACAGACCTGTGATGGATTTAGAAAGCTGGCAGTGAAAGCGGCTCTCAGAAGGAACTAAGAGGGAACTACACACATTTTTCAGAGCTAAGGACCCCAAGTCTTGTCTCAGGCTCCCAGAGCCGAGCAGAAAAACACAGTAATGGAGGATGACAATTCCAATAAACCACGCAGGCCCCCAACTTGAGGTACCTGTTCATTCAGACAGAAGGTCCACTGTGTCAGGGGCCAGGTGAGGTCACGCCAGTGGACAAGACCCTATAAAACCAGGAATGAGCTCTGATGGTTGAGAAAAGCTGTTACACCTCCTGCTAATGTTAGTTAGAATAAGGTCATCAGGGACCTAACTTCTCATCAGTGAGAAATTAAAACAGATAAACTATCTTATTTCTCCAGCATATTTGTTTTTAGCTTCACGAGCCCTTGAGAACCTCCCTGTTCCTGGAAAACCTTCAAAGTTACTTGGGAGAGGGGCGCCTGGGTGGCTTAGTGGGTTAAGCGTCCGACTTTCGCTTAGGTCATGATCTCGCAGTTCGTGGGTTTGAGCCCCACGTGGGGCTCTGTGCTGACTGACAGCTCAGAGCCTGGAGCCTATTTCAGAATCTGTATCTCCCTCTCTCTCTGACCCTCCCCTGCTCATGCTGTCTCTCTCTCTCTCCTAGGAATAAATAAAAATATTTAAAAAAAAAGTTACTTGGGAGAGTAGATTCCTTGGGTGCCTGGGTGGCACAGTCGGTTAAGCATCTGACTCTTGTTCTTGGCTTAGGTCATGATCACATGGTTCATGAGTTCGAGCCCCACATCAGACTCTGCACTGATGGTTCTGAGACTGCTTGGGATTCTCTCTCTCCTTCTATCTGCCCCTCCCTTACTTGTGCACTCTCTCTCTCTCTCTCCGTCAAAATAAATAAACTTAAAGAAATTAAAAAGAGAGAGAGAATGGATGTCTGGGAACACAGAAGATCATAAATGTTCCTGCGAAATGGAAGTTAAGCAAACCCCTTGTGAGCCACGCTGGAAAGATTACAAAGTTAATCAGGTTCCTGTGACCAGCTTCCTATTTGTAAGAATATTGAGCAAAATGTTGCTGGCTGGCAGTATAAAGCAGTTCTGAAGTTTGTGTTAAGAGCAGACAGTGGTTTGAGAACTATCTCCCCATCTCCTTCCTTGCTGGAAGTAATAAAAACCATTTGTTCAAGCCAAAAGATTTGGGCTGATCTATTGGCTGACACACCCCAAGCTGTTACCCTTTGCGTTAAGTGACACTAAAGCAGAAAGAATGTCCTCCAGTGACAGCCACAATTCTTGAAGTCCATTCTAGCTTTCCAAAAACATTTCCCAAGGCATTGGCACCTTTTTATTTCTTGTGTTGGGCAGTGGCTAACATGGTGTTCCTTATTCTAGTCTCTGCTCTTTTTATTTGTCTGGAACGTGTCACACACACACACACACACACACACACACACACACACACACATCCTGATACAAGAAACGGACATTATGAAAATAGCAAAAGTAGGTCCAAAGAAAGTATAACGATTAGTAAGAAGCAGCGTGCTGTCAAGGGAGACTCAAACTCAGAAAGTCCTCTCCCTTCGGGGATCTGAAACTGAATTCCCCAAGTCCCTGACTCACCAATTCCTGCAGAAGGTCCTCTTCCTGGGTCTGACCCCTCTGGCTAAGCACTCGCTGGTTGTCATCCAAATTCCCCTCCACCCAAGCCTCACCTCTAGACTGACCACCCACAGCCTGCTTCACTTACACACTTAAACACGCACACACACTCCTCACCTCTAGGCTCCCCGCTCTCCACATTTGTCTCCCCGGGCCTTTACTTTCTTTTAAATGTTTTTTTTATTTATTTCTGAGAGAAAGAGACAGCGTGAGCAGGGGAGCGTCAGAGAGAGAGGGACACAGAATCTGAAGCAGCTCCAGGCTCTGAGCTGGCTGTCAGCACAGAGCCCGACGCGGGGCTCGAACCCAGGACCCGTGAGATCATGACCTGAGCCGAAGTCGGACGCCCAACCGACTGAGCCCCCCCACCAGGCGCCCCTCCCGGGACCTTTTAGAACCCCCCCCCTTTCCTCCACTGCTGTCGGGTCAAGATCCTCCCCTCCCCCCCTCCGCACCCCGCCCGGGCCCTGACCTCCGGACTCCATCTGCCCCTCCCCGCACCCTCCTCACCTCTAGACCCCCGTCCCCGCCGCGCTCACCGCAGCTCCGGGCTCAGCAGCGAGATGTACTCGGCGCAGCGGCCCAAGAAGATGCTCCGCAGGTGCGGGCTGCTGCCCTCTCCGCGCCACCGCGCGCCCCCAGCGCCCGCAGCGCCCGCGGTGCGCCCCGGCGGCAGCAGCAGCAGCAGCCACAGCAGCGCGGGCGCGCGCCTCCGGGCTGCCATCTCCCGCGCTGCGTCCCGGCTCCGTGCGGCCCGCACTCGCCTCCGTCCCCCGCCGCCGGCTGGCTCCCCCTAGCGGCGCTCCCCTGGCTCTGCGCCCCCGCCCGTGGCTTCGGCCCCGGGACGCAGTCACCGACGTAGGGCTTCACCCGGGACCGAGCTCTTCCTCTTGGCTAATCTCCTCCTCCTCCTCTGTTTAAAGATTTTGTTTTTATTTTAATTTTAACAATTTTAAAAAATTTTTTAATGCTTTATTTATTTCTGAGAGAGAGAGAGAGAGAGAGAGCGCGCGAGCGTGAGCAGGGGAGGGTCAGAGAGAGGGAGACACAGAATCTGAAACAGGCTCCAGGCTCTGAGCTGTCAGCACAGAGCCCGATGCGGGGCTCGAACCCACGAACCGCGAGATCATGATCTGAGCCGAAGTCGGACGCGTAACAGGCTGAGCCACCCAGGCGCCTCTAAAGGTCTTATTTTTTAAATAATCTCTACACTCAAGGTGGGGCTTGGACTCACAGCCCTGAGATCAAGAGTAGCATGCATGGGGCGCCTGGGGGGCTCAGTCGGTTGAGTGTCCCACTTCGGCTCAGGGCATGATCTTAAGGTTCGTGGGTTCGAGCCCCGCGTCGGGCTCTGTGCTGACTGCCAGCTCAGAGCCTGGAGCCTGCTTCGGATTCTGTGTCTCCCTCTCTCTCTGACCCTCCCCTGCTCACGCTGTCTCTCTCTCTTTCAGGAAAAAAAAAAAAAGAAAAAAGAAAAAAAAACTTAAAAAAAAAAAAAAAAAGAGTAGCATGCTCCAGAGACTGAGCCAGCCAGGCGCAAAAAAAAAAAAAAAAAGAGTAGCATGCTCCAGAGACTGAGCCAGCCAGGCGCCCCGTTTTGTTTTTCTGTTTTGTTGTTTTATTTTTTAATTGAAGTATAATTAACACTCAGTTTCAGGTGTAGGACATAGTGATTGGACAATTCTATACCTTCCTTGTGCACCCCACACGTGATAGTCAACTTCTGTCATCCTAGGTTATTACAATGCTATTGACTGTATTGCCTATGCTATACTTTCCATCTCCCTGACTTATTTATTTTATACACCTCTTAATCTGCTTCTCCTATTTCGTCCATCCCACCCCCCACCTCTGCCCTGGCAACCACCAGTTTGACAAACAAACAGAAAAACAGGCTCTTGGGAATGCTAGCCAGAGTCCAGGAGGAAGGAGCTTCCAAAGAAACAAGGTTGGGGAATAGGCGAGGAAAGTTGAGTCATCGAGATAAAGAATTTCTGGCCCCAAACTCTGACATCTTTGACAGAGAAGCTCTCTTTTCCACCGGTCAGTGATGAGTGGGTTTTGTTTTCAGGAAGTAATAACCATAAAAACTAATATTTGTTGAGTTGCTATTATGTGCCAAGCCCCCTATAAGCATAGTTTTAAATTAACTTTTCACAACTTCCCTCCCAACTGGGTTTATTATCCCCATTTTTAAAAATTTTTGTTTGTTTATTTTTAAATGTTAATTTTCATCTCCATTTTTAGATGAGAAAACTCCGGGAAATTAAGTAGCTGGGAAGTTAAGTAACTTGTCGGAGGAGGTCATAATCTCCCTTCCAGATAGATGCAAAATCCTAGAGGGAGGCAATTCAGAGAGCCAGAACTGCACTTTGAAGTTTGGAAGCCCTAAGCCTCTATTCTCACGGTGAGGATAGGTGTGAACTCTGAGTGCCCCGGACAGGCGTCTGGTAAACATGGGAAGCTGGCGAGAGGTGGGGTTGGAGTGTTCTATAACACTTTATTTGAATCTCTCTTTGTTATTTATTTTTTAAATGCATATTTATTTTGGAGAGAGTGCAAGTGGGGGAGGGGCAGAGAGACAGGGAGACAGGATCCAAGCCGGCCCCCTGCTGACAGCAGAGAGTGAGATGTGGGCTCGAACTCACAAACCAAACTCGCAAACCTCGAGTTTATGACCTGAGCCGAAGTTGGATGCTCAACTGGCTGAGCCGCCAAAGTGTCCCATCTACTTTTTAAAATTTTTTAAGGTTTTTGTTTTGTTTGAGAGAGAGGGCACAAATGAGCCAGGGGCAGAGAGAGAGAGAGAGAGATAATAGGAAGTAGGGCTCACCCAAAGCCCTGTGAGATTATGAACTGAGCTGAAGTCAGATGCTTAACCGACTGAGTCACCCTGACTTTCTTTTTCATTTGTAAAGTTTATAACCAAACCCACATTCTTCTCTCCAGCCCTCCCTGACTCAGTCCACTTTCAAAACCTTTTTGTATTTACTTCCACATTTCCAGATAACGTGCCTGTGTGCTGCTTCTTGATGTTTCCATCTTGGATATTATTCTTTGACCTCCTAGGATGGAAAAGGAAATTTTATCTTTAACCTGGCACGTCCTCAAAAGGCATCTTTCTGTGCCTTTCCTCATCCCAAGTGTTTTATCTCAAGCTTTAAATCAGCATTTACGTTGTTGTGACCTGTGTTATTCATGGCTGAGCTTGTGGTATTCTATGATTATGTTTCCTTTCTTGTGAACTTTTTGCTTACCCTAGAGGAAATAATCTCCTTTATCGTCCTCTCTACCCCATTCTTCACCCACCACCCTCGCCTATTTGTGTGCTTGGTACCCTATGTACACTTATGATTATGGTCAAATTCTCTGCAAGACGTGTGACTCTCTAAGTGCATTCAAAAGTATCAGTCTGGGGGCACCTGAGTGGCTCAATGGATTAAGCCTCAGACTTCAGCTCAGGTCATAATCTTGGCTTGTGAATTCAAGCCTGCTTGGGATTCTGTGTCTCCCTCTCACTCTGCTTCTCTCCTGCTTGTACTCTCTCTCTTTCTCTCTCTCTCAAAAATAAACAGTCAGAAAAAATTTTTTTAAGTATCAGTCTGTATTTTAGGTGATGGGTTTGATATCTTTCTTTCCCTTCCTTTCTTTCCTTCCTTCTCTCCCTCCCCACTCCTTAGTTTCTTTCTTTCTTCCTTCCTTCCTCCCTCTCTCCTTCTTTATTTCTTTCTTGCTTTCTCGCTTTCCTTCTTTCCCTAGTAACATTCTTCCCAGAGCACAATGAATGGAAACTAAATAGAATATCAAGCACATAAACAAATAAGTTTGGGTGGGGGTTGAGGGGGAGACAGTTATTACCTCTGGGGTTAGCAAGAAGTTTACAATAAAGGAAACAATCATAGAATACTGTAAGCTCAGCCATGAATAATATTCACAGGTCATAATAATATGAATGCTGATTACTGATTTAATGCTTGTATCTAGAAAACAGAAAGAACTCAACAACTCAAAAACAAGAAGAAACACAACACAAATTTTTGAATCAGCAAAATAATTGAACAGATACCTCACCACAAAGAAGATATTTACCAAGAAAAAGATGAAAATGTGTCTGTCCCAAGATTTACACATGAAATGTTCATTGAGCTTAATCCATAAAACCCCCAAACTAAACAATGTAAATGTGCAACAAGAAAAGAACAGATAAACAAATTGTGGTCTAGTGATACAATGGAACACCACTCACCAACACAAAGGTACATACTCCTGACACACTGGGGCATCTAAAAGTATACACACTGAGTGAAAGAAGCTACAGGGAAAAAAAATACATACTTTATTATTCCCCTTATAGGAAGTTCTAGAAGAAGGAATAGGATAATGACATACAGAATTGGAGGAAAGAGAGTTCAGATGGCACCAATTGCTCACTCAAAGGCAGAATAATGGGAAAGTAAGGGACTTTTTCTGGAAAAGATCAAAAATTAGTTTTATTGGTAAATAGAATGTAGTCTGAGACTTGACCGGAAAGCTAGGGTCACACCTCAAAGACCTTGAACTCAGTACTAATCTGGACTTTGTATTCTTGAACTTTAAGAGCTTTCAAGAATTCTGCGACTTCCTTATTAAAAATGTCTCTTTTGTTGGCTGCCATTCTTGGTTGTTAAGGATGAAGTGAGAGAGATGAGGCATTAAAGGTCTTAAAACTGTGTGTTTCATAAAGTTCTCTCAATGAATGTTTTGAATACTTACCATCTTATTTGCTTTTTGTGTTTATTTTCCGTTATGGAAGGCAAGAGTAATGGCTCCACAAAGGTGTCCCTATCCTAGGGGCACCTGGGTGGCTCAGTTGGTTAAACATCTGACTTCAGCTCAGGTCATGATCTCACGGTTCGTGGGTTCAAGCCCCGCCGTTGGGCTCTGTGCTGATGGGTAGCTCAGAGCCTGGAACCTGTCTTTGGATTCTGTGTCTCCCTCTCTCTCTAACCCTCCCCTGCTAATGCTGTCTGTATCTCTCTCTCTAAAAAAAAAAAAATGTTCGTATCCTAATTCCCAGGAAACTGTGAACACATTACCTTACACAGTTGGAGGGAGTTTGCAAATGTGATTAAGCTAAGGATCTTGAGATGAAATGAATAAAATGGATGGATCCAATGTCATTTTAAGTGTCCTTATATTACCAACTCCAGTCCTTGGGTTCCCCAAGAAATAGAAATATATTGGGACCAAACAGGAATTCCACATAAGACATGACTTTTATGTGGGCTTAAGCTCAAGCACAGGAGAGACGGTACGAAGGAAAGGACCTCTCATGCTGGCTCACTGAACAAAGGCCAGGGAATTTTTTTAAAGAGACCGAGGGAAAGGAGTAACATCTAAGTGTGTATGGGTGGGAAGAGATATAGGAAGTGGGGCACTTAAGCACAGTGGTCCATCATGCATGGTGTGTCTCATTAGCATGTTCCATCTCCACCCCCTGGGTATGACTTTCAGTATTATAATGAAGGAGGAAGTTGGTGAAAGGTCAGCACTGGGGTCCACCTTGGTGCAGATTGGTTTCGTTAGGTCTCTGCCAGGCTACATAGTGAAGTCCCTCCTTTAGATAAGCATGCTGCATTTGCATTCCTGCAAGATATGCTACTCAGGAGGCATAAAGTTTTTGCTATCAAGGAATGCTGGGTTTTGTGGTTAGGGTTGAGGGGACCTGAGTCCAGTCCCTGCTCTGTCTCCCTAGACAGGTGGATCAGAAACACAGAG